TCCTGCGAGTCCCCTGGACTGCAAGGCGATCAAACCGGTCAGTCCTAGAGGAGATCAACCCTGACTGCTCTTTAGAAGGCCAGATCCTGAAGTTGAAACTCAAGTACTTTGGCCACCTAATGAGAAGGAAGGACTCACTGGAGAAGAGCCTAATGCTGGGAAAGATTGAGGGCAATAGAAGAAGGGGACGACAGAGAATAAGGTGGCTGGATGGAGTCACTGAAGCAGTAGATGTGAGCTTAAATGGACTCCAGAAGATGGTAGAGGACAGGAAGGCCTGGAGGAATATTGTCCATGGGGTTGCGATGGGTCGGACACGACTTCGCAACTAACAACAACAATCTAACCTTTCAAAAAATTGTCTTTGAGATTGTTTGCAAGTGGTTTAACTATTTATTAAATTTCTATCCTGCCTTTCCATACAAGGGAGCTTACAGCAATAAAAATGCATTAGCAATTTTTAACACAATATAAATTATGAAAAATTAAACATCAATATTATTACAATAAATTTTAACAATTTAACAATTCAAAGTTTAAGTGAAATTTCTACCATTTTTCTAAGTACTGGTAGAGTAGAGCCATACACATCTCTCTGATGAATGCATTCTGTTATCTGGGTTCCATGCAAGTGAAGACCTTGTCTAGATTATTAAACTTCTGGAAGTAGGAAAACCTTCAAAATAGCCTCTCCTGCTGATTCGAGTAATAAGCATGTACGTAGAAGTTTAATATGCTCAATTAGTCTAGTTTAAGGAAGGCTTGGTTTTTTTTAATATAGTAAGGAGTTACTGTGTACAACCTGTTTCAGCATGAGCATATGGCGATTAACCATATTGTTTTAAGTGTTGGGCACCGTTTTGGGGCAAGCTAAGTCTATAAATATATATTCAATTTGAACTTTAGTGGAACTAGATAATGATTATATTAATAATCATTATCTTATTAATTGCTGGACACAGTTTTTGAAGTATACCGTCAAACCTGTCTTGGAAATAAGTGATGATCTTAGACATACAGTATTTTGTGTTTAAATCATGATCTGGGCTGAGTTGGGTTTTTTTTTTCTTCATTAAAACAAACTAAAATAATATATAAATATCATAATTAAATTAATAGAGAATAGCATTTATGGAATGAAAGTTTCTACATCAAAGCTCGAACAGTGTATCAGTGTCAGTATTCCTGAGATAAAACTACATAGGTTGCATGATACTTCCAGTGTCTGAAATACCCATCTGTTGCTTTCTTTTACAATTTTCTTCATTTTCCAGAAATTTGTAGATTTATAACTGTATAACCACCATTGCTGACTCTAATTTCATATCAAATTCTAGGCAACAAGAATATAGGATGTTAATTTTATCCTTGAAGCTTTTTCTCTGTTCTTTCACTGGGTATGACTAAATGCTTTATATTGGAGATTTTCTACTATATATTTACTTCACTAATATCTTAGCTAAATTAAAGTGTTTAATCCTTTAGACCTTAATTTAATCCTTTCTCACATTTAAAACTGCCGAAGAAAGTAGAAACTAGGAAATATCCTTTTTAAGATTAGTCATCTGAAAAGAATGAAAGCATAAATATAATAAGTAATTTAAAGGAGTTTAAAATTGAAAAACTGGCAAAGATTATCTAAACATGTATGACAAATTATTAAAAGAAAACAAAGTGTTGCAGAGGAAAATCTGAATGAATTATTAAAAACAAAACAAAAAGTACAAATATAAGTTGCTATCAGTCACCATGGCTAATTTTTTAAAAAAGAGTGGAACTTGTTGACTATTGTACCATAAGCTTCCTGAACATATAATTAAGTTGCCATGATCCTCTTATAGACACTGGTTAGCCCTTGCTCAAAATTGTGTTGGTATGGATTTTCTAAACAATTATCAGAAGATTATGGTGATTGCCCCAAACTCCAAAATGAATAATTAGAACATCCAGGCCATCATCAGTCTGGAAGTGAAGCCTATTGATCAAAGTGTGGACCTGTACTTCTTTTGTCCATGAGTTATGAGCAAGCTAAAGTAGTATTTAAACTACAAATCTTGGATGTAGAGTGACAAAATGAGTTGAATATAGTCTTTAAGATGTTAGGAACCTTACTCTGAATTGGAGACCAAGCTAACGTTATCTCATCACCCTGGATTTGCAAGACTGAATGGTTATAGATTTGGGGCCCTCCAGTTCAGAAACTAGGCCATCTTTGGTACTGGACAGGGTTGCATTGCCCCAAACAGACCCAGAATCCTCCTAGACTCATGACTCCTGCTCAACGAATAGGTGGCAGTTGTGGCAAGGAGGCCTTTGTCCAGTTCTGTTTTGTGCACCAATTGCATCTGTTCCTGGATTGGGAAGTTCTGCTCATGGTCACTCATGCCTTGATGACCACCTGGATGACCTCCCGGATGCACTACTGTAATGGAGTTTACATGAGGCTCTTCTTGAAGAATATTTGGAAGCTTCAGCTTATGCAGTATGCAGTGGGATGTGCAGCTATATGTACCCCTGGAAGGGCACATGTTATATACCTCTATTCCATGAGCTGTATGGGTTTCCGCTTTGCTTCCAGGTCCAATTTAGAGTGCTGTTTTTTATCTTTAAAACTCTTCATGGCATCTCTGAAGTGTTTCTCTGTCCTATATCACCTCCTAAAGAATCAAGAGAAGTTTAAGAAAAAAATGTTTATCTGCTTCTTTTACTTTAATCTCAGTGAATGTGACCGCCCCCCCCCCCGTTTTACTGCTAAAGTGCAAAAAACATTTCCTTATTTCAAGTAAATGCAGTACTTCTGTGGAATTATATCATCATTGATATTATTTTTATGCATAATGAGAAGGAATGTTCTTTTTCTCTGCCCTTCAGGAAATAAATCTCAAAGGGAAGAGTTGGATTCCGTTCTTTTTCTTTTTGAAGTAAGTTACCCATTTTCAACAAATACTGAGCGTTATAGTTATATGGTTCTTTATAAACACATTATATTTTCTTACAAGGACAATGGTATGATCCTAGGTATCGGAGGTGGGGGTCCCTCCCTTTTAATTGTTTAAATAAATGATAAAAATATGGCAATGTAATTAGACCAGCCTGTTGTTAGACAATATGTGGAATGCAATTTTGCAATTAAAAGAAAGAGGGAGAACAAAGACAAAAGTTTGGAAGCAGACAACTTACCATTTCAAGAACATAGATTTCCATTTTGCAGATTCTAGTCAGAACATTTATGAAACTATCAACCAGCTGTGTGAGCAGTTCTAGATACCTATTAAAGTAGATACCTAGATGGTCAAAATATGAGGCAACGACATAATAATTGCATGATCAAATGGAAGAAGTTTAAGTAGAAATTCTTGCCTCTAATTAACAAGGACAAGGCTGATTGATTCATTAATGAGAAGTTGTGTCTGAATCTGACCAAGAAAATATATCTGATAAATTAGTCACTTGGCTGCCTTTGTGAAATGTTGCTAACACACAAATACTTTGATAAATGTGAACAATAAATATTTGCTCATTTTTTTAAAAAAAATAGGAATATTGTTGTATTTTCTTAGGAATCAGGTTAACATTGAGACTTGAAACAATAAATCAGAGCATCTGAATGCCAGCAGTCTTACCTATGTTATCTAAAGCTTCAGATTTTGATCAAGTTTTGGGTTCCACTGATTTGTAAACAGATTGGTAGAGTGATTTATATGTTTAATTATAATAAAATTAATTGGCTCTGTTTAGAATATTATGTGATTCTAACTTTGTGGTTTGTGAATAATAATTTAGAGGTCTAAACTAAGTATGAACCCAGTTTTGGCTTATTTAATAAATAATCCATTATGAAACTCTCATGGACTATAATGTGTGAATCTAGTCAGTGACTCTGTACAACTAGTTGTCAATGATACTTGATTTCTAAGTTTAAACTGCCTTTGCAGTTGAGGATTCTGTAGCTCTTTACTTCAGAATAATACCTGTTGAATTCTGTGGTTTCAGTTTTGAGTACATTGGATTATACTCTGCACTATGCAAATTAGACTAAATCATTAGATCTAAAAAGCTGCTTTATGTAAATTTAAAACAATGTATTTTCTTAACTTCTCCAGAGGATACTACAATTATTTCCTGAGAGAATTTTCTGTCGATGGCATTTTCGTAGCATAGGTAAGTATACTTCAGGTTTGGATTTAGGCTATTTATTTTAAGTCCAGATTGATATGTTTCCCCATTTTACCTTGTAGTGTAGTTAAGGTAAAAAGATGCTGTCCCTTAATGGGAAACAACAAATTGGATTGACATGTGATATTTTACGCTTTGCACTACAATGGTTGCATATTAGATTGCTTTTTCATATGTTAAAATGTCAAATGGAAGATATTAAGGTAACCTTTATAATCTCTTATAATCTCTTTAATTTGGTATTTGAACAATTGTTTGCTATAGTAAAGAAACCAATGGTAGTTCAGATATAATTGCATCTGAATTGTTAAACTGTTACGTGATGAAAACATGCATCATCTATAACAAAATGTATTGGTTTTAATCAACAGTTTGGAAATGTATTTATTGTTGAAATGGTTGCCCAGTTAACTGGAATGAATTCTGTTAGGTCCCAATAGGTTCTAACACCTGTATGGAAAATCCTACAAGCTATCTTTTTAAAATCACAAATTAAAATAAATGTGAATAATAAATTTATGAGAACACATAATTAAATGAGCGCCTCAAGATCAGTGTGTTTTCTTAGAGGTGGCTATTTAACTTACTTAAAGTATTTATTTGTTTAGTTCAATTTATATAGCCACCAACAATAAACTGTATCACAGGCTCACTTAACCTCCCAATCTTTACACTTGGAAGAACAGCCAAAAGGCAGCAGGAGTGCAATCAATCTATCCTTGGGAGAGTAGTGTTCCAAATGGCAAGTGCAATGACAGAAAAGGTATACTTCTTGGGTCCCACTAACTAGATGACACTTTTTAATAGATGCGACCTCAAACTGGGTAGAGACCATCAGAGAAAGATAGTGCCCCAGATATCCTGGCTCTATAGCATACAGGCCTTCATACAAGTGGGGACCAGCATGTTACATTGAATGAAAGTTATTTTAAACAGATTGATAAAATATTAAAACCTTTTTATAGCAAGGACAACCATCAGATTTTTTTAAAAAAAACCTCTATTGTTTATCTTACAAAGATAGGAAATGTAATGTTAGCCATTATTCTATTGTGTTTCCTGCATTAAGGGCTACACAACATATTTGGAAAGTATTTAACGAACGAAGTAAAATTTTGAGCCATATGCATGTGAACATTTTTTATTCTATAGTAGTCACAGTAGTATATAATAATTTGTGGCCACTAAAAGCATTACTATTTTAGTTCTTCTTGAATTTACATTTATTTTTATCAGCCATGACTAATGGTAGCTAATCTTTAATTTGAAAATTTCCTAATCCATTTTTATTTATTTTAGGGTCAATTTTGAAGAAACTTTTGCACACTGGAAACTGCCTTAAGGTATTTTAGTGCTTGCTTTAAATCCTGCATTTTTCTAAGCACATATTTATAACATTTAGTTTATTAGAAGAAAATGATTTGTTAGATACAAGACAACGTGTGATATGCTATTTTGAGATGTTTCAATGCTTTTTGGTCCTAGTTATATTTTTTTGTGGCAGCAATCTCCACATGGGGGGAGGAGGATCAAAAACATTGCAAGATGGCAGTCGCAGCAGTGTGATTTGAACACATGTACCCCATTTGTGTGTGTACGCTGCCCCAGATAAAACTCCAGATGTGACCCTATTTGCAAGCTTGGGTCACAAGGATTAGCCGGGAGTGGAGTAGCTTGCTTCTCAGAGTCGTAGGTGGTCCATTGCTAGAGGTTTTCAAGAAACAATTGGATAACCATTTGCCTGGGATGGCATAAGGATTTCTGTCTTGGGCAGTAGGTTGCACTAAAAGATCTCTGTTAGATAAAGACACTTGGCTTCACTCAGAGTTGGATTCTGATTGGATAGGTTCTTTGCAGGAAGAGATGGTTTGACCTGCCTTGAAGCAGAGAGTGGTTTGCCACCTTCTCAGGAGGCTAGTCTTGGACAGTATTGTGCTCAATTTCCAGCTTTCTCCGTTTAGAAAAGGTTGTTGAGAGGGTGATAGGCACTCAGCTTCAGAGAGCCTTTGATGAAGCAAATTATCTGGACTCCTTTCAGTCAATTTCAGGTTGGGCTATAGTACTGAGACAGCATTAGTTGCCCTCGTGAATAATCTCTGGAGACCGTCCTGTTCTCCTAGATCACTTGGTGGTTTTTAGTATCATCAACCATAGTATCCTTCAGAATGGCTTTAAGATTTAAGAGTTGAGGACACTGTTTTGTGGTTGTTCATCTCCTTCCTAAGTGGTCAGTTCCTATCGGTGTTTTTGGAGAGTGGGTAGAGGTTTTAACTTTTGCCCTCGTAGTGGCTTCTTTTAAATTTCTACATGAAACCACTGGGAGAGGTTATTTGACAGCACAGGTTGCAGTATTTCAGAGTGTTGATAATATATACTGGTCTCCTCGCTGGTCAGGTAATGCCATTCATGTCTGTGCAAAGAGGTTGTAAGTGTCTGGATGGGGAGGACCTGGCTTCAACAAAGTTGCTTTGGGTTCTTCAGCCTCCTGGATCTGGTTAGGTGTCATTTATGATTCTTCAGAGGATAACACTCCCCTGGCTAGAGCTGGTTTGCAATTTGAGAATCTTCCTGGATTTGCAACTTCTGCTCAAGGAGCAGATGGCAGCCATGGCTTGGGAGGTCTTTACACAAAATCATCTTGTACGTCAATTGTGCCATTCCCAGATTGGGAACCCCTGCTCACCATCACACATGCCTTGATCACTACCCAGTTAGATTACTGCAATACATAGAGCTGACCTGGCAGACCATCCGGAAACTGCAACTTTTCAAGAATGCAGCAGCAGTTTGCCCATATTACATCACTGCTGTACTAGCTGTATTGGCTCTCAGTTTCTTTCTAGATATTATTCATACTGCTTATCATTTTTAAACCCTAACAAAGGTTTAATTGCAGGATTGCCTTTCCCTGGGGGTATCTGCCTATTCCATTAAATCATGGAGACATGCACTTTCCAGGAAAACTTTCCTTAAGGAAATTGTCATCTGGTGGGACCTAGGAAAATTGCCTTCTCCATAGTTGCCCTGCCCTGTGGAATACCCTCCCTTCTGATATCTGGCAGGCTCATACCCTTGGGTGGAACAGTGGCTCAGTGGTTAAGACACTGGGTTTATTGGCTGGAAAATCAGTAGCCAGGGTTTTAGACCCAAACTCTACGCAATGGAGGGAGCTCCCAGTCCTCGCCCCAGTTACTGCCAACTTAGCAGTTCAAAAGCATACAAGTGCAAGTAGATAAATAGGTACCACTTTAGTGGAAGGTAATAGTGCTTCCTGACATCATGCTGGCCACATGACTGTAGAAATGTCTTTGAACAGCAATGGCTCAGTGGCCTTGAAACGGAGATGAACATCACTCCTTATAGTCGGCAATGACTAGCAGAGTAAAATCCGCAGGGACTCCTTTGCCTTACTTTTTTTACCTGACTCTTCTCCCAAGCATTGAGGAAAGGCGAGGCTAGAGGTCAGGAAATGTGAATGTCTGTGTGGGGGACTCAATTTTGGAGTGCCAGAATTGTTTGGATGTTGATTGCATGAATCTTGTATATTTTGTTCTCTCTTTGTGACCCTTCAAGAATTGTTGCATATAAGATGGACACGGATGGATGGATGGATGGATGGATAGATAGATAGATAGATAGATAGATAGATAGATAGATAGATAGATAGATAGATAGATAGATAGATAGATAGATAGATAGATCCCGTCTTGCTCCTACAGAGTCATGGCCCCAAACTTTATGGTTGCTGATTACCAAGGATTTTTGTGCATTTCTGATAAAGATGAATATACAGTGATTTGCAGTTTGTTCTTTTCTGTATGCTGATAAAATCTACATCTGAATTGTTTGTTTAAAGGGAATTAGTAAGCAGTAACATTAGTCAAATCATATTTGGGGAGATAGTATGCTTTGTAAATATAAAAAACAGACTTCCCCTTCAGTTTCACCCATTAAAATGCCTCACTCATATGGGGTCAAAAAAACCCCACCCCTTTATTTCTCTTCCTGAAAGTTAGGTTGGATCAGAAGAGGCATTTAGAAGAGGCAATTGACTGATAGTTCAGTTAAATATCAGTTGGCAATATTCAGCAAAGAAATATAACCTGTGAACTTCCTGGTGGAATTGATCCAAGAGAAGAAGCTAATTTTGAGCTCCTTATTGTAATGCAATCCATACAAATATGTGTTAAGTTGATATACTTGAAATAAAATTTGGTTCGGTGCAGAAGGAAACTAAAGAGCTTAAATCTTGTGAGAAAAAAAATCACGGCACCAGAAACAAAAAGACATAACATTTGGAAAGAAATTGGCAACCTGTTAAGAGCAGATTCAAAACTACCTCTGCAGAATATCCTTATATGTGTAGAGAAGGAGCAACCTCTAGTGGCTCTTGTAGAGAAATGTTTACTAGAGTAAAAGCTGAAAGATTAAGCTGCACTTGATACAGCCTGGAATCCAAGTAAGATTCCAATGTTATTCTAAACTAAATCCAGGACTTTATTTTCCTATAGCCGTTGTTTGTTATATTATTTATTACCTTTATTTTCATCTTCACTTGATATAATCTCTGTAGTTTTCTTTTTTGAATTTTTAGTTTTGAAATAGTAATTTTATGAATACAGTTAGTTTTTATAATTATAGTTGTAGGAATCAGGTTGGGTATTTCCGATATAAAATTATACTATTTAAACTTTATACTATGTCACTTTGGATATAGTATCATGGAATGTTAAAGATCTGAGACATATAGCCAATAGGAGGACTGTTTAAAATATACATAAACTAGATATTTTAAAGTTTGAGATAGCTTTTCTGCAAGAAATTCATATTTTTCCTGAGAAAGAAATATTTACTTGCTAAGATGAATTAACCATGGATTAATGGTTTGAAAATAGACAGAATTATTATAGTAATTAAAATTCTTTAGATTTTATAAGAGGGGAAAAAATTCAGACACTGAAAGTGACTGAATAATTTGAAACGCTGGTAGTCAGATGATTCTCATGAATTTATGGTCCAGTTAGAGATAAACCTATTCTATATGGTTGTTTAATTTAAGGAATTTAATTTGGTCTATATAAGGAGATGCAGACTCAAAAGAAGATACTTGTAAAAATCTATCCTAGCAAATGTTCACGTTTGGATTTATTATTATTTTCTTGATCCATAGGTCAAGAATTGTTCTATATCTGAGGATGGTTATACTATTTATGGTTTTTGGTAACAAATGTTAATCTTGTATAAACTGGCACTTTTATATGTTACTATTAAAGGATCCACAATATCCAAAATATTTTGCAATTTATTTTTTCAAATAAATACATTGGTAAACAAAAGAAAGATTTGGGATGTACTTAAATTTTAAATACAGCATATAGGTATCTTATATACATATGCTGTATACAAGAAGAAAAATAATCATATCACATTAGGAAAGTAAAGAAATCATTATTGTTGACACAGTTGATGGCACCAAATAATATAAGAATTGTATAGAGCTTTTAAATCTGCTAAACTGACACAATAATTAGCCTTCTTATAATAGAATTTCCATTAAGATCTGTTAAGCAGGCATAATTCTGAAGTCTAATTGTAATGTTTTCATCATTTTTGTTTTAAAATTTGATTGTTTCTAATACATGTTTTGTGAATATTTTTATACTGGTTTTTAAAATATGCCTTCTTTTCAGATAAGATGTGAAGGAATACGATTATTTCTTCTTTGGCTGCAAGCTCTCCAGACTAATTGTGCAGAAGAGCAGCTGTTAATTTTTGCTTGTCTTGTGCCTGGTTTTCCTGCAGTAATATCTTCAAAAGGTCCATGTACACTGGATACCCTCATCAGCCCTCCTTCTAGTCTTCCTAATGGTTAGTTTTATAATCTTCTGATTTTTTTCTTAGGTTTCTAGATAGTGAAAGTTAGTTGCTACGCTAATGAAATATTTGTCAATTGACACGAATTGCAGTCTTGAATAACAGTTGTAATAAATGCTTCTATAGAAAAAAAATAAGCAATAATTAAAAAAATATTTTAATTATTCATTTAGGAAATCTGTGTTCCTCTCATTTCCTTAAAATAAACATTTTTGTTCTTTTCATTTTGTGGGTTATTTTATTAGGCCTTGATGTAATGTTTGCAACAAGCTATGTGGGCAGAATTACCATCTGTATCTTCTATAGTGTTGATTACAGTATTGATAGTATAGTATTACAATATTAATACCTAGTTGGTCAATTGTGCAATGTTTTTGAAAGGAAAATATCACTGTCCAGGATGTGTGATACACTTTTGATTGTGTGTTTCTGATTTTAGCTGAGAGCAATAAGTGACTGTATTTTCTGGTCTTTCTACCTGTCCAGTTTGGTTCAGCAGGTTGGGCATGTTACAGGTCTTGTCAGCCAAGGAATGTGAATTGCATAGCAAGCACATATATTTATTTTGTATTGTTTTAATTTTTTTAAATTATTTGTATGCTTTTATGATGCAGATCGCTCAGAGTCACTTGCTGAGATGGGTAACTACAGAAATCAAATAAATAAATAAGCAAGCAAGCAAGCACTGCTCTGTTCTTTGTGTCTTATAGAAGATTATTCTTGGGAACTCTCTTACTTTTTTGTATTTCGCTGAGTGGTTATTGTAGTTTGAGAAATGCCTGAATTAAACACTTGAGATACTAAGCTTGCCAACCAGCTTGCCAACCAGTTATGGCATGACAAAAGACAGTGTGTAGAACATATAAAGGTACATCATCCAATGAGTGTAAATTGGTATTTCTTTGTGTCCTTGCCAATGCGTTATGCCAGTATGGGTGGACTAGCTCAGAAAAGCAGGTGGAAAAGCAATAGCTTTTTTCACAGTTTTTCAGAGTATTTATTTTTAAGTTGAAGTGGGATACTTTATGCATTTATTCTATGCAGTTTCTTTGTAGGCTGTTTGCTGGACAATTGAAGCTGCTGTGCTATTTGTTCCTCATTCCTAATGCCTTAAAAGAGTTGAACAGGGAATGCATTTATTGTAGTGAAATCCTTGAAGGTGTCTGGCTGAAACTTGGCAGGAATTACTGTCCTGTAATTTTCCATTCCATTATTATGCCCAAAAATGAAGCAGCTGCAGTCATTAAAAGGATGTTTCTCCATTATATTCTATGGTCCAAGCTTTCAATTGAAACTCAGAATTGCTTAAATTGAATTATTTGCCTTTCAATCTTAAAGTAGAAAATTCAGTCATGCCACCTGCTAAAGTTTAGATTGGACCAGAGCTTGTTAACACAGGTTTGTTACATACATAATTCTTTGATAGATGAAATGTTACTTTAAAGATTAAAAGGGATCTTGTTTTCAATATAATTAGAAAAATTAGTTCTTGATGTATAGCATAATTGAATCTTTGACTTAACTGTTTATGGTGGCACATTAGTGATGTAGATTTTCCCAAATCAGGATGAAAGTCATGATGAAGAAGAAAGCACAGAGAGGGTTAAGAAGGCAAGTCTGTTAATGCAAAGGGAACCTGTGAATTTTGGCAGAATATTTCTTTTAATTGGAGTTGTACAAATATCTAAAAGTTCTGGATTTAGTCAACAAAGTTTTAAAGAGTTTAGTATTAGTTCTTATTGCAAGAGGGTGTGTATGTATGTATGTACAGTATATGTAATGTATGTATGTATGTATAGTTCATTGGGACTTAGGGAAAGATCATTGTGTCAAACATGGTTTCAGCTCATTATACCAGTAAAATTGTACTATTGCATTATATATGTCCTTAAAATGTGCCACAATTAATAGATAATTTTGAAATTATCTTTCTCCTTTGAAAACCCAGAACAGTATAATTGTTCACAGTGCACTCTTCTCTCTTTCATTGTGAGGGGAGTTGCTAGGTATTGCTTGTTAAGAAGAGCCATGTGTGAGAGTAAGGTCCCTTGCTTCATCATGCTTACCATTTTTTATCTTTATGCTTTATGTTTTATTGATATGATTGTAATTTCTTTGTTGTGAGCCACCAGAGTTATTTAGAGTTGGTGGCATACAAGTTTATAAAATGTTGTTGTTGTTATTGGTCGCACAGTCAGCCAGGTGTTTGGACTGGCTTTGGCATTTTTATCAAATCCGTCCCAAATGACCTGGGATAGGCAGATGTTGTTTGACGATGTTAAAAGCCACAGGAGGTATGCTGTTCCAAGTAAAGCTGCCATTTGCTATTGACTGATTATGCTTTTGGTAGTAGTAGTAGTAAATACAACAACAACAACAACAACAACAACAATAATAATAATAATAAATCCACTGATTAATTGTTCTCACTGTCAGGAAATTTCTCCTTAGTTCTAGGTTGCTTCTCTCTTTGGTTAGTTTCCATCCGTTGCTTGTTGTCTTGCCTTCAGATGCTTTGGAGAATTGCTTGACTCCCTCTTCTTTGTGGCAACCCCTGAGATATTGGAATACTGCGATTATGTCACCCCTAGTCATTCTCTTCATTAAACTAGACATATCCAATCCCAGCGACCATTCCTTATATGTTTTAGCTTCCAGTCCCCTAATCATCTTTGTTGCTCTTCTCTGTACTCTTTCTAGAGTCTCAACATCTTTTTTACATCGTGGTGACCAAAACTGGATGCAGTATTCAAGTGTGGCCTTACCAAGGAATTGTAAAGTGGTATTAACACTTCACATGATCTTGATTCTATCCCTCTGTTAATGCAGCCTAGCACTGTATTGGCTTTTTTGGCAGCTGCAGCACACTGCTGGCTCATATTTAAGTGATTGTCCACTAGGATTCCGAGATCCCTCTCACAGTTACTACTATTGAGCAAGATACCATCTATACTATACCTATGCATTTGGTTTTTCTTGCCTAAGTGTAGAACCTTACTTTTTTCACCATTGAATTTCATTTTGTTAGATAGCGCCCAATGTTCAAGTCTGTCAAGATCCTTCTGTATCTTGAGCCTATTTTCTGGAGTGTTGGCTATTCCTGCCAGCTTGGTGTCGTCTGCAAATTTGATGAGTTCCCCATCTATCCCCTCATCCAAATTATTGATGTTGAAGAGCACTAGGCCCAGAACAGAGCCTGGGGCACCCCACTACACATTTCCCTCCATGTAGATGCAGTTCCATTGAGGACCACACGCTGAGTATGGCCTGTCAGCCAGCTACAAATCCATCTGGTGGTGATGCTATCCAACCCACATTTTTCTATCTTATCAAGTAGTGGGCTATGATCTATTTTATCAAATGCCTTACTGAAGTCCAAGTAAATTATATCCACAGCATTCCTCAGGTCCACTAATTTTGTCACTTGGTCAAAGACTATAATAAGATTTGTCTGGCATGATCTATGTCAACACTGCTAACATCGGATGTTTTTGCATTGACAACAGAGGGAAATGTAGCCATCTTTTACCTTTTGCTTTTAGATGATGCTGGGAGGGGGGATGTGAACCAGAGTCCAGCTAGACATAACAACACTAAACCTAGCGTGAGAAACAAGGTTATTGTAACCAGAGCTGATAAGGAATTGGCGGGCTGGAGAACTGGAGAGGAAGCCCGCGCTTCAAGCTAATTGGGGAATGTGATTTATGACTGTTAATTGGAGGAGGGAATTATATTTTGATGCTATGTGCTCAGGGGAGGGGAATTCAGTTTTTGGCTTCAATTATGCAGTGCCGATGTTATGCTACTCAAAGTAAAGATTCTTTAAGGTAAACAATGCCTTGAAGCTCTTTTGAAGAGTTTCATCTGTCGGAACCATGACAATCTGTTTTTCACAAACCCATGTTAGCTTTTGTAATGACTTTGTTTGCCTCTAGGTGTTGGTTGATTTGTTGTTTGATTATCTTTTCCAGAATCTTCCCAGATATTGAGGTCAGGCTGATAGGTTTCCTGGATCCACTTTTTCCCCCTTTTTTGAAGATGGAAACTACATCAGTTCTTTTCCAGTCCTCTGGTAGTTTCCCAGTGCTCCAGGATCTTTGAAAGATATAGTTCAATGGTTCTGAGATCACATCTGCCAGTTCCTTCAGAACTTTGGGGTAAAATCCATCTGGTCCTAGTGATTTGAACTCATCTAGGGTGGACAGGTGTTCACTTATCATTTTCTTGCCTATCTTAACTTGTGTTTCTAATTTGTTTTTTACGGTACTGTTTTTGATAGATTGGACTATTTNTTTTCCCTTTGTATAAAGATGGATGCAAAAAACGAGTTAAATAGTTCTGCTTTCTCACTGTTGCTTGTCACCTTCTTGCCACTTTTTCCTACTAATAGACCAATCATTTCCTTAACCTTTTTCTCGTTGTTTACATGTTGAAAGAAGCCTTTTTTGTTATTTTTGACTTTTGTCGCAAGCCTTAGTTCATTTTGAGCCTTAGCTTTCCTCACTTCATCTTTGCAAGCTTGGGCTATTTGCTGATATTCTGACTTAGTTATGTGTCCCTCTTTCCACTTTCTATACTTGTCCTTTTTGTCTTTCAATTTATCAGAGAGTTCTTTATTCAGCCATGCTGGTTTCTTTTGAGAGCTGTTATTTTTCTTCTTCATTGGTATTGTGCTAGACTGGGCTTTTATAATCTCACTTTTCAAAATTTCCCAAGCTTCGTGAGTTGTTTTCCCCTTGAGGATTCTCATCCATAGAATCCTTCCCAAGCTCTCTCTAAGTTTATTGAAATTAACTCTCAAGTCCAAGACTCTAGTTTGACTGTGTTCTATTGCTTGTGCTTGCATAATGTTGAATTCCAATATTGCATGATCACTCCCCCCAAGGTTCCTGTGGCTTCAACACCTTCTATCATTTCATCTCTGTTAGTGAGAATTAGGCCCAATATGGCTGATCCCCTAGTTCCCTTCTCTACTTTTTGGCAGCAAAGTTGTCTGCTAGGTTTGTCAGGAATCTGTTTGATCTTCCACTTGGTGCAGAGTTTGTCTCCCAGTTGATGTCAGGGTAATTAAAGTCCCCCATTATTATTGTGATGTGCTTCCTACATACCTTAGTTAGCTGACTAGCAAAAAGTTCATCTATTTCCTCAGTTTGGTTGGCTGGCCTATAGTATACACCTATGGCAATGTCATTTCCCCCCCTTTTATATTGACCCAAATGCATTCAAGACAGTTGTGAGCACACCAATCTGAAATCACAGTTCATTAGCTAATGTTGGTCTCCATATGCATTGAGTTCGTCCCAAGAGCCTAGGATATCATAATGTATTGGCATAATGTATGTGTGAATCCATACAAATATATTTTTGTAATTGAAAGATAGAAATTTTGTCAATGCACAGATTTTCCAAGAGTCATCTAAAGGCTTTTTGGTATGGCACTCAGTATGCCAATAACCACTGGGACCACCGTTGCCAGTTGGAGAAATTGGAGAAATATCAAGATAAGCAAATCAAAGTTAAAAGATTATGGCACAATCTTTTAACTTTGATTTGCGTATCTTGTTATTTCACCAATTCTTTCTCTTCTATCCCCTGGTATGGCCACATTAATTGTCCTCACTTTCTTCTTTTCAATCACAATTAAATCCAGTGTGTTATGCTCCAAGAGTGTATCAGTTTGTATTTGGAAAGCCCACAATAATTTAACCTGCTCATTTTCTACTACTTTTTCAACTCTATGTTCCCATTAATTTCTTATTATTGGCACATGATAATTTTTACAGATGTGAATTGTTTTGGTGACTATTGTTGTTTATAGTCAGTTTCTTCAGTCTTCTTGCACAAGTCGAGTATATGTTCTATATGTTTCTTCAGCTTCTTTGTACAACCAACACTTTGAATCATTTGATCTTTTTTTTAATTCTGGCCTTGAGCAGCCAAAATCAAGCCTTAAGTTTCTTTTTTTTTTAGTATTCCAGTTGTAAGCCATTACCTAGTTTTATGTGTATAAACTTTTACCACAATCTTTTGTAGAAATTAATCTTGTAATTCTTTCCTTTATAGCAGTCTGTGCTTTTATTATATTAGTTTGATATTCATGTTTTGTTTCCTGTACATTCTGTCCAAGTTCCAGTTTTTAAGTTGCATCAATGCTTGGTCTTGGTGATCAGCCAATGCACGATTTTCTTCTTCAACAGATTGTTTGACTTGAAAATAAATCTCTGACTCCATTTCTGTGGAGCCAGTATAATCTACCAATATCACTAACAAGGATGTAATGCATAATGAGAGTAGTTATGAGCTTTCTTGTTTTTCGGTCCAAACTGTCCAGCTCAGCTTGTGTCCAATTAATAATCCCAGCAGTATATCACATCACATGTATGGCCTAGGTATTGATGGCTTTGATGTTGATTTCACCATTTCAATTTTGTCTTTAGCATTTTTCTCACTCTTTGAATTTATTCTTTGCTAATCACATTTTTCATTTGCCCACATGCTTGATGTTATCCAACTGTAAAATGCCCAGTTACTTGTAGACTTCATCCTGATGGCTTCTGATGGCCATTCGGCATTTCAATTCCATTACTGCTTGTAATTTTACTGTACTGTAGCACATTTCTCATGATAATGGGGATGGCGATGGTTGCACAGTCAGCCAGATGTTTAAATTAGATTTGGCATTTTTGTTCACCTATCAAGTCCTTCCCAAGGACCTGGGATAGGCAGATGTTGTTGTTGCTAGTATTATTATTATTTTGTAAGTGCTGCATTAAGTTTCCAAATGCAATTTCAAGTCTGGTTTAACTTATAAAGCCTTATATGGCCTGACTCCTGAGTACCTTACACACTTTCTCCTGTAAGAAGAAATTATCAGTCATTTTTGCTCAGTCTAGTGAGGAGACAGTATATATATATTTAAAGTAAATGAATACATTAAATAACAAAATGCTAAAATGCTTGTTTCTCTGGTTATCTTTTCTGAAAAAGTAGGCTTTTTGTTTGTGACTTGATGAACTCAGCCTCAGGTTTTTTTTATAGATGAAATACAAGCTGTTGAGAACCGCTAGTTTCAAGGGGTACAAATTTTATGGTATGATCATTTAAAAAAAAATGTCTTATTTAGGGAAAATATATCCTGAAGATATAACACCACTTTTACCACATGCTACTGGTGAAAAGATTGAAGACCCAACTTGCTACTTTCTTCAGATACTCCTAAAATATATGGTAATTCAGGTGAGCACATACATAGTAAATTTATTTCATTGAAATTGTTTAATTTATTCATGTATTCACATATTAATTCCCATAGCACTGTCTTATTTCTCATCTTTTCTCATCTTTCCTACTATCTTCTTGCATTGGTTTCTTACAATTTATTAATTGGTGTTTTTAATTTATGATTAATGATTTTAACTATGATTATGACCTATGACCTATTATTTCCTGTTTACATGTACACTGTGAACTTATGCACTGAAAACAAATTTGTTGTGTGTCCGATCACACTAGGCCAATAAAGATTTCTATTCTGTTCTGTTCTATCCTATTTTTTCCTATTCCTATTCCCTATATAATATCTAAAGTAAGTTGAGGCTTGGGGAAAAAATACTGGCATTATTTTCAAATTAAAGTAAGGTGGTCCTTGCTTACTGACAGTAAATGGGAGCAGGAACTCTATCACTGGTCACAAGGCATGATGTTACATGACCATACCAACTTGTGCTGACAGTTCTAGCAACCCACTTGTGGTCATTAAATGAATCCCGTTTGGCCTTAGCATCCCACAGTCATGGGATTGCTTCTTGCAGTCCCCTACCGGCTTCCCCATTAACTTCACTTGTTGGAAGCTAGCAATTAAATTTGCAAATGGTAACCACAGGACCACAGGACTCTGCAATGCCTAATTGTGAACTGGTTGCCAAATTCCCAAATTGCAGTCATGTGACAATAGAGATGCTGCAATGGCTGTCGTAAGTCCCCCTTGTTCAGTGCCATGGTAACTTTGAACAGTTGCTGGCTAAGTTGACAATAAGTGAGGATTACCTGTATTTATAGTTTTTATTAATTTTAATTTGTATTCTAAATAGCTTAGATTCTATGTTCTCGGGGAGGGGAGTTTGCATTAAAAAGTATATATAGAATTTTCCATTACACAAATATTTCAGCATTCTTTCATTTAACTTGAATTCTTTTTTAATTCTGGCAAAGGCTGCAAAGTTGGAATGGAAGAATAAGGAGAACCTTGACACAGGATTTAAGTTTCTCTTTGCGCTCTTCAGAAAGTATTATCTTCCTCATTTATTCCCCTTTATAAAACTAACCAACCTCTACAATCCTGTGCTTGGTAAGTAACTATTTTACCTCATTTATTTTAATAACAAATGAAGAAAAATTTCCCCCCAATATTAAGATTGAAATCTTTAGAAAATAAGTTTAAGATCCAGAAAGATATTCATAGATTTGAACACTAGTCCCTATCCAACAAAATATAATTCAGTAGTGAGAAAAGTAAGATTTTACACTTAGGCAAGAAAAAAACAAATGTAGAGGTATAGAATAGTGGATAATCACTTAAATACAAACCAGCAGTGTGCTCCATCTGCAAAAAAGCCTACACAGTCTTGGACTGCATCAACAGAGGGATAGACTCAAGATCACATGAAGTGTTAGTACCACTATATAAGATAAGATAAGACCACATTTGGAATATTGCATCCAGATTTGGTCACCATGATAAAAATGATGTTGAGACTCTGGAAAGAGAAAAGCAACAACACTGATTAGGGGACTGGACACTAAAGCATATGAGTGGTTGTAGGAACTGGGTGTATCTAATCTAACAAAGAGAAGAAGTAGGGGGTTGACATGCTAGCAGTCTTCCAATATCTAACTGCTGTCACAATTCTCCAAAGCACTTGAAAGCAGAAAAAGAAGTAATAGATGGAAAGTTATCAAGGAGAGATCCAACCTAGAACTAATGAGAAATTTCCTGACAGTGAGAACAATTAATCAGTGGAATGACTTGCCTCCAGAAGTTCTGGGTGTTCCATCACTGGAGGTTTCTAAAAGAGAGTGAACAGCAATTTGTCTGAAATGGTATAGGATCTCCTAACATGGGCAGGGTGTTGTATAGAAGACCTCCAACATCCCTTCCAATTTTGTCATTTTGCTAAATAGGTATCTTTATGTAGATAACATTATTTTCTTGATAAGCCATATATAATTCCCCTCTATTGTAAAATTTACATTCATCCTACTCCGGAGAACAATGACACTCGGAGAAAATGGCTTACCAGATGGGCTTATTTTTTTAATCATGGCTTCTGATTTGCAACTTAAAGTTAATAAAATATTGATCTACCTTATAAAATTTCTTTTAAGATTACAATTTTATTTTTTTAAAAAAGTATATTTAGGGTCAAGATTTATTTTACAAACCCATCCATGCAACTTATTTTACCTCTCTTAATTCAGATTACTCTCATTATGTACAGTTCTTATTGTATGCTTCAACCATCCTTTCGATCTTTTTTGCCTATGAAAGCACATTATTATCTTCATTTGTATTTCCCTCATTTGTCCTGACAGCCCAGTTTACACTCTCTGGAATGTGAATTTCCATTTATAAGTCAGGTTTTTAAAGATTCAATTTCATGTTTTGTGTTTTACAGAGATCCCTGGCCTGCGCCCCAAACCAGTATATGTTAGTATAACTTGTGATGGCGGAAATTTTTATAGTACAAAAATTCCATACCTGGATGCTCGTGTAACTTTTATAAAATGGCTTGTAAATTTTTTTCTGGAAAAGAAATATCTTTTAGCAGCACAAACTTTCAAAAATGGTGTGGAAGTTCTACCCAGAATCATTCAAGTATGTTGCAAGTGTTATTTAGTTTAGCATTTCTGACGTTGAATCAACATCAAGTTACATTAACTAAATTGTGACTTTTATATGAGCTTGAGTACTTAAATTTAATTCAGCAAAATATTACATATTTGAGACCTAATATCTTAAATAATATCATGTGCCTAGTAATCAACTTTAGTAATGGAATAACATCCTTTTAATAATTAGCATTATTCAACATTTATTTCAAGTTAGCTTAAACTAGTGGAGATGGAAAATTAGCACCTGAATCTCTAAGTTGTGTGCATATGCATTGTGATTTTTGAAGACCTTGTAATTTTTAACAGCAGCAAAGAACGGTTTAGAATGAAAGTGTTTTCCCTTGTGCTTTACCATGCTCAAATATACTTTTTGAAAGGTTTAGAATATTTTTTAATTATTAGGTTTGTGAAATGACCACCCATATTTTGTTGCCCTCTAACTTTGTTTTCAGAGTAGCAATTTAGTACTCACAAGCACCATTTTATCTACAGAGACACACCAGCACTCCCCACACAATACTCAGCCACTTCTGTTTTATCCTACCATTCCGCTGGCTGCAGTAAAAAATGGCAAGAAAAGAGAAGTCACCTACTGGATATGTCTAATTAATAAGTATCCATTGTTCCAGATGAGCATACTGAAAGGAAAGGGAGATGCTTGCTACATAATCTAAAGAAATCACTGAAGGTAGCAGGGATAATGGCCAGGTTATGGCAATTGCCACTTAACTGCAAGCTATCATTTAGGATTGTCCAGAGGCTTCCATTGATAAAATAGTGGCTACTAGGTTGTAATCATTGCATAATCCCAAGATCATATCAGACCTCTGCAAAAGGTTGCCATGCAAAATTGTATATGTGTGTGTGTATGTGTACGTACATACAAATACATAATAATATGTGTGTGTTTATATATTTATACACACATATGTACTCAGTCTTTTTATTGAATTTTTAATTCAGTAGTTTCTATGATTTGGGTGATCGGGTTAGTTGTTAATAATTAAAAGTTAGACTAAATTCTCAAGTAATGTCCATAAATTATCATGGTTGTTTCCTTGTATCTTCTTAAGACAGTGGGTAACACAGTGCAAGATAAAACTCCTGAAGTGGAGACCAGTGTCCCATCAGATCAGGAGAAAAATCATATCAACCACAGCGGGATACTCAATGATTCCAGTTTTTGCAGCATTGAAGAGCAGCACCGATTTGCATACGAAATGGTGCAACAAATATTTTTGTCTACAAGAGATAATGTGAATTTTGTTAATGAAGTATTTCATCAGGTTGGTATAAACTGGCATCTGTTTATATGTTGTAGAGTATCAGTTCTCCACCTTTCTCTTTGTGGGAATCTGTAATATCTGTGAACGATTTTAAGAATCAACCCTTAGCAGTGTATTACCTATGCCTTTCATGGCACATATCCTTTCAGTTAGTGTCATTAAATGCTTAAATTAAATGAAAGTTAATTGTGATTTTGATACTCTGAAATTTTCAACAGCAGCACCAATTTCTTCTAATACTTGACAATCTTTTAAAATGTTGGTCAATAAAAAGGTTAATATATTTTGATATTTATTCATTAAATTTAGAAACTGCTCATTTCCTTCATAGAAGGACTCTGGGTTATATACAAATAAAATATTAAAACATAAAAACTGAATATAAAAATTCGAATTTTTTATATTCAAGGCAAGAATAGTTAAAATTGAACATTAAAAGTTTGTTAAAAGATGAGAAGGGGGGAGGATTTTCAGAGTGCTAACCAGCCCTATGGCTGTGTGTGCGAGCCCCAAGGAGGGTGGCAGAGCCAGGTCTTTAGACATTTCCAGAATGCCAGGAGACTACGGTCCTGTCTCTCCTCTGAGAATGTTGTAATGAGCTTCCTGGGACCCCTCCAGTCAAAATTCTTTAACTGACGGGGTCCGCAACATACCTTTCCTGCCTGACTGGATGGGATAGGCTGATGGTTGCATAGATAACCTGGCCCCATGCCATATAGGGCTTTAAAGGTCATAACCAACATCTTCAATTAGACTTGGAAGCAAGAGCAAAGGCCCTCCTAGCCACAAGCGCCACCTGTTCTCCACAAGGCCTCTGAACACAACCTTCATGGACAGTCTGGGGACAGGCTTGGAGTATATATCTTTGTGGCAAATAGTGCTTTAATTTATTGTTTAGATACAAGATTAAATCCTTGTTTAGGTCTGAAGTTCAATGATATGTTTTTAGCATGTTGCTATCTTTCCCCCCCAAACTTATATCCCGAATCCAGTCAGGATATAAGAAATATTTATGTATTGAAGAGTATGGGGGAAACATTTCTATAAGCAGCTAAACTATTAGTATAGATGTTTGCAAAAGGTGGAAACATTTTTCAATCATTAAAGTCCCCTTTCCCATGATTTATTGAATATCAGTGTTTCAGTGAATAAATAAATATAATCAGTTGAGGAACTTAACATAAAATTGCATTTATATGAATAAAAATATTTTAGATTGTTTGAAAGTACTCTATTCTGCAATCAGATAACAGGTAGTATAGTAATAAATACTGATTTTAGATACTTAAATTTAATATAGTATTATGAATTTCTCAAGACTTTATTCATTTATTCATGCCACCTATCTGACAAATGTGACTCTTGGTGGTATGCTATAAAAAACCCATTAAAAACCAACAAAATATTCCACAATAAGAACATCAATATTATTTAAAAAGACTGGAAGAGCATGTTTCGTATCATAGACAATATAGCCATCTCATTAATTCTCCATTTTCCTAAGGAACCCCCCAGCCCCCAAGTCTATTGACAGAGCTACATTTTGAGGAACTTCAGGAAGGCTACCATGGATGGGTCTTATCTCCAAAGGAAATGTCATTCTATAAGGCAGATGCCACAGCAGAAAAGATCTGTCTCCAGATGTAGCTCCTTAACAGACACAATGTACAACATGCCTCTTCTGCCAGAATTGTTGCCACATTATTTGAATTCCTTTATTTTAGTTTTTAAACCTATATTATTGTCCTAAATCATATGCCTTTCCAAAATATTATAGCTCCTCTGATGATAGGATAATGAAACTCGTAGACATCACATAGACATTGAAAAAAGTTATCCTTTGTATTAAAATATATGTTCAACTATCTCCACACTCTTGATCTTGATGTGCTTTTGTTACATAAATATGTATGACATCATAATGATTTTCCTTTTATGGATTAAAGTAGGTAAATGGAGAACTTTGAGTTCAATCTCATATCTATTATTCCCCCTTTAGGCTTTTTTGCTGCCAGCATCAGAGATATCCTTAACTGAAAATATTGTGAAAGTTTATAGGAAATGGATATTACATGAGAAACCTCTCTTCATGGAAGAACCAGATGTAAAGGAGACTATTCAAGATGATGATGTCATCACAGAACACTCAACAGAAGAGACCGATGGCAAACACGTATGCTGCCAGTCATTATTAATAGGCGGTGGGTTTGTGTGATGTAATCAATTGCAGTTTGTAAATAGTTGTATAATCTGAGCAGAGATGTTGCTCAGACTAATGTAAATAGTATATAGAAAACTTGGTTCCACTTTTTCCCTAACAATCTGTTGCTACTCAGGTACTCATTTTTCTCTAAGTCACAATAACTTAATAAGGGAATTAAGTTATCAGTTGCACTATTTATCATAGATAAATTTTAATTATATGCTTAGAAATGGAAGGTTGGGTATGAAAAGTATAATAGAATCAAGGCCTTGCTTTCCTTAAAAAAAATTCAGTTCTTAATATATTCTTGCACAAATTGAATATATCTGAAAATATTTTTCTGAAGCTTTTGTTTAATCATTTTATAATGATGTAAAAGTTTTTCTTTTTGTTCTGATCGTTACTATAAATTTCAGAGGATTTCTTTTGTCAAAAAATCTAAATATATGGGAATAAAAATTTGGATCTTTAAATCTGAAATAACTGGGTTTAAAAGCATATCATTCTTAGGGATTGCATTAATTTTTAATCTGGGAGAAACATACGTTTGTTTATGTTTATTATTTTTTCCTTAAATATACTTTTACCCAAAAGAAAGATTGATATATTAACATTTGTAATATAAATCTTTTTGTCTAAGAAAAGTAACTTTTAGGATATCCTATTATATTTTTCTAAAAACATCTGTGAATGATTCAATTTTGGAATCCAACCTTTCTTTCTGTATTATACTGAGTTCAAATAATGACACATAGGCCACAGTGTTAAACTGATATGAAAATGTCAGAAAATTGCAACTGTATTTTCAATAGGTTCATATAGTTTAAATCAAATTAATTCATCACTAATAGGTAAATATATGTAAAACTGTTGATAGTAAATGAATCAGTAAAACTAATTCCAATACAAAGTTAGATTTTTTTTTCAAGTTGTACAAATGTTTTGTCAGACATTGTTTTTTTCACTGGAAATATTTATTCACTATGTATATCATGTCACTGAAGAAAAGGAAAGGAGTTCTAATGCTGTCGTCACTAATTTAGCTCATTCAAAATCTGCTGCATCATTCGTTATTCTAGTCTGTATTATTACTACATCTGTTTTCAAATAGTATCAAATCATCACCTCTTCGATGGTAATAGTCTTATTAATCTGGTATAGACTTTTGTAAATGGAACCAGTTCCTCTCCCCCTAAGTTTATGTGGACAATTATAGACCCTGTGGGCCTACATACTTGGGAGATTATCACCACTTACGTTTTTCCTCAGTAGTAGTATTCAAGTAGAAATGGTACTTTCCATTGTATAAAGCAGGGGTGTCAAACTGCCGGCCCATGGGCCGGTTTCATCATACCGAAGCCGCGCCCACCCCATTGCCGGCAATGCAAAAAGAGTTGCGATACGTCGCGGCACGTCACGTGACGCGTTTGACACCCGTGGTATAAAATGTGTGTAGTATGTGTAAATTAGTAGGGACATATTGCAGGTCACACACACATACATTAAATAATGTATAAAGAGTATTTAAATATTTAACTATTAAGTACTTTATTTTTGGAAAGGTATTGAAGCTGCTAATTCTTTTGTTAAAAATTGCACTGAGCAAACTGAGGGTTACATTCTAGGTGCACATACTGACCAATATGTTTTCCTAAAGCTTGTGTCTGGACATAAAAGATCTTCAAGTTGGGGAAGAAGTTATTCCTTCTCTAGTGCTGTTACCAGAGGATGCTTATTAGAAGATGAAAACCAGAATGTTAAAGCAGGTCTTCAAGCTACACTGCAGGTATTATATATGATACAAAAGAATAGCTTTCTTAGTTTGTACAATATATTTTGTACTTGTTAATCGTATTTATAGATTACCATAATTAAACTGAAACTGAAATTTTGCTTTGGACAAAAGGAAATATATATTGCTTCTTTAGAACTGATAAACGCAAAACAAAAGACATATTTGATGTTATCTTAATTGTAACTAGAATTATTCTGAATTTGGGATGGACTCCTGCAGCGGAACAAAAGTATAGAAAATCAAAATATTCAGAGACTATATTTGAGCTGCAAAAAATTAAAAGAAAATAGGAAAAAACCCACAAATAGCTCCAGAAGTACTTAAAAAACATAAAAGCAAAAAGGCCCCAGAAATCTAAAGATCCATGATGAGCATCTATATTTTGTCCTCTTTCTCCTTCACATTCCTCAAAATACTCTCCTCTCCCCTCCAAAATAATCAAAGGAACTAAGACCAAAGAGGTGGTTTTTAAAAGATAAACAGAAATCCTCTGTACACTCCAGGGTATTCAATGCAGCCCATTTTGCTGCTGAAAATAATCAATCCATGTTTGAGACAAGAAATTTTATACTCAAAACATTTTGAAAATGAACTGTTTAAAACCCCCAAATAATGAATATTTTCTATATAATCCAAGATTGAGAATATCCATGAGTCACTGCAACAACTGTCTCTCTGATTAAACTCTGTTATGGCTCTTTAATATTTTATTTGATCAGGGCCTATTCCCACAATCTTTACATTCTTTTTCAAGCATTCTCCTAACTTTTGCAAGACAGTAACGTGGTCATAGTTCACCTATGTAAAACTCTGTTCTATGAGAGTGTTCATAAGCTATCATTTTCAATTGTTTAACTGCCTGATGCACTGGATCCAACTTGGGTTTTTTTTTAAAATGGCATCACTATTGGGAAGGTTATCTTGCTAATCATCTTTATGTTGGTCTGCACAGAGATAATTATGTCTGTAATACATCTTCCATTTTTACTGTCAACAGTTCTATTCTCAGATCACTATGATAGTCTGAATTAAGCAGAAAGGCACACACTAATCTTAATGAAGTTCTAGAATGTTTTGAAATTTACTTTATACAGAGGAACAATCTGACTATATGAGCTTTCTAGAGTTGCTGGGGTCACTAGAGAGTTTTTATGATGAGGTTCATTTGCAACTAGGGTAAATTATGTTAATTTTCTAAATACAGATCATTTCCCTAATGCAGGCATGTCAAACTCGTGATGTCGCGTGACGTATCGTGACTTTCCCCCCATTGCTGGCAATGGGGTGGGTGTAGTTTCGGCATGACGCATTTGGCCCGCGGGCTGGCAGTTTGACATGCCTGCCCTAATGTATAGTTTTTTTAAAAAATATATTTAATGCACATCTCCATAATATATCTATTCCAGGACTATATTTGCCCTCGTTTCAATTCAGGACTGTTAGGTTGTTTTAATGTAAAACAATTCAATGAGTAAATTACCATTTTTATTGAAAAGGAAAATACTAATATAAAATGGATTTATAATTCTCTTAACTAAAAATGATAAAAAATAGCAAAGTTATCTAACTATGTTATTTAATATGTGCAGGGGACTTGCTCTTTATAGCTTTTAATATGAACTTATTGTAAGGATGATGTTTTGTTTGTGAATAGATTAACTTAATCCTAAATGTCGTGAAGGATATATTGTTCAAAATAACTTGAATAGATTCATATTCCTTCTCTCTCTCCCTCCCTTCCTTCCTCTCCCTTTTCTCTTCCTCCTCCTCTCTTTTCCTTCAAAATATATAGGTATTTTTGACCAACTCTGCAAACATATTTTTATTGGAACCATGCAGTGAAGCCCCTGAACTACTTAAAGAGCAGATAAATTCTTGCAGAGCAGTTTTGAGTATATATAGGCGCATGATAATGGAAGTTCCAATGAATAAAAAGACCTGGTATGTTTATCTGTAATGGAATGTGTGAATGACCTTGGGGAAAGAGGAGGAAATGCTGCCTAGGAAACAATCAGACAAGAGTGGCAGGAGCTGGCAGTCCCTTAATGACCGGAGGAAGAAATTTAGGAAAGACCTGCCCAAATGGTTCAAATAGTTAATAGTGGAGGCAGGAAGTTTCTGCTTTCAGATTTGCAAGATTCTGTTAATATAGCCTTACAGTAAAGTAGAATTAGTTCATCTGTTTCCTATCTGGTTTTCCTGGGAGGGCTGACTCTTACCTCTCACTGGGTATATCTAAATTATAAAGTTATGTTATAAGGAATCAATAGCATGTTACATTCTTTTTATGTCACTATCAGAAAGTTCAGCTGAAATGCTAAGTGTTTATTTGTAGCAATGTACAAGTATTTCTCCATTGTTTCCAATTGCATGCCCTGTGCATTACTACGTTACTATTATCTTATGATAGTAAGAAATCTTTATCTAGTTAATCCACTATATATACCTTTGTATATTATCTATGTACAAAGTGGAATTCTAGAAATCAGCTAATGGGTAAGAATGAATGTCCAGACTGTCCACAAATCTGAAAAAACAGGCAGTGCATAACTTAGACACTTTTTAATTCTGAGAGCACAGATGTGGATATTCCACTGGTAATTTGGTTCTGCTTTATAGAAAAAAAGCATCTTGTTGTAACACAAGATTATTTGAAATACATGTTTTTCATGACTGAATAAATGTAATGCAGATAGAATGCTGTCAATTATTACCACTTTCATTTTAATTTATATTGTGTCTTTCTGCCATAAGGACAAATACAATATTATTTTAACTTAAGACTATTTCATATTAAATATAATTTGTGATATCAATATTGTGATCTTTCCAAACCATAGGAAAATGAATGAAAAACTTCCATGATGGATTATATTTGTTTTCAGGACTTAGTTTTTAGGACATTATTTTTTAAAAATCAAAATATAGTCAAAATCATTGACTTTGATTGAGACGGGTGGTTATAGAAATTGAATAAATAAAAAATAAAACTATAATGTTAATAAAAATAATTTACTCAATAATTATACTTTGTCTTATAAAACATTTTATTACGGTGGTTTAGATAAGATCTGATTTGAAATGCTAAATATTTAAGTAATGTAAATATATTTAAAATAAAGCAAATGTTTTATAAATGTGATTTGAAAATCACAGTAGTAACAGATAGGGCATATTAGAGTGAGACAACTTTTGGTTTATCTATATAAATAGTCTACCAAGTTCTGTCCCTTTGCAGTCTTCAGTAAGGAACATGCTAACCACCCTTAGTTCATGGTTTCTTTATCTTCTTTATCTGTCAGTACTGGCCAGGAGAAGATAAAGAAACCATGAACTAAGGGTGGTTAGCATGTTCCTTACTGAAGACTTTAGGTTTACTTTTTTTTCTTTTTAATTTCCGAGTACTATGATGATGTCATTGGAGGAGTGGGATGAAATTCTAATTTCTTATTGCTTGAGGATAGCCCTTTTTCCTTTTTTGAAAAGCTTCTTTAAAAAGACCTCAAAGGGTCTGAACTCTACAGAAGGCATAATATACTTTTGGCCTTAAGTTTCACTTCTGACATTCAGCAACGACCTAGGTTTTTCTATTGTATTTCAATTGAAATCTCTTGATAATGTTGAATCTAAATGATTGTTACTATTTCTGTGCTTAACAAAAACAGATTTCTTGATATTTCCATAAAAGGATCATTATGTTTACCTTTATTAGTAAAATGATTACATGTCATAGTGGAAATATTTTAAATACAAGATCATACAGCTTCTCTAACTTGGATGCTGTCCAGACTTTACCTCCTAGAATTCCCAGCTGGCATTGCCATTACTATGAATTCTGAAAGGTAAAAACCTCACTTACTAACAATAATTGGGACTGGAAACACTGTCATTAAGTAATACTGTAATAAGTCAAGAAAACATATGACTGTGCCGCTTAGTGGCAGCAGTTCTTACAGTTCAGGTTGCCATGAAGTTAAGCAAGGACCACACAGGTCACTAAGCGAGGAGCTCATGTAACCAAAATTTTCATTTTATTTGTGGGAACTGGCAAGAAAAATTGCAAATTGTGATTCCCATGATTGTGGAACACTGTGCTGGGTATAAGTACAAGGTCCACTTGTAAGTACCAGTCCTTCAGTGCCATTGTAAGTTTGAATGGTTACCAAACCAAGACCACCTATATTTAGGATAGTTAACTTGGGGAAACCTGGGGTAAAATATTATTTGGGGTTATGCACACAGAAAATGGGTAGTAAGAAATACTTGAAATGCTTGTGATAATATTTTTCTGCTGGTATTTAAAATAATTATATGTGTTTTCCATATGTGTCTGAATGAAAGATTAATTACGCTGCTTTAAGAGTTGCACTAATTTTTAGGAGCAAGCTCCTTAAAACAACAGGAACTTTTTTCAAGTGTGTACTGATGTCTCAAAACAAGGCAGGCTCCTTTAATGAATAGCAAAGGCATATTGTGTTTATACACAGCCCAAATCCCTTTTTAGTACAGATAGTCTTCAACTTTTGACCACAGTTGTGCCCAAAATTTCCATTGTTAAGCGAGACATTCATTAAGTGAGTTTTGCTCCATTTTACAACCCTCCTTGCCACAGTTGTTAAGTGAGTCACTGCAGTTGATAAGTTGGTAATCTGATTGTTAAGTGAATCTGGCTTCCCCATTATCTTTGCTTGTCAGAAGTTCACAAAAGGAGTATCTGAATTCTGATCATGATACTGCAAAGCTCATAACTGTGAAAAATGGTCATGTCACATTTTTCAGTGCCTCTGTAACATCACTAAACTAACTGTTGTCAGTCAAGGACTACCTGAACTCATTATTAAAGTGTACACAATCCTAATAGAGAAGGTATTTGCTTCTCTTACTTTGTGACTTTTTCTGGGCTGTTGGAAGTACCTGTGTTGGTAGTGTCAACATTATTATGAGAGAATGTTAAGATAAATACCATTAGCAAATTTCTACATTTTTCATATGTAAACTATATATTTTTAATTTTATCCTAGGGAGCATATGTTGCAAATGCTTCTTAGCATAACAGCAGCTGTCATGAGCAACTCCAAAGATGATCAGATAAAGGATGCATTTGGTCAAAGTTTAGCAGGTTTACTATTTCGGGTATGTCTCATTTTTTTGTAGAGCAATTTAAACATTGTTTTAAAGTGCTATAGTTAATTAATTAAATTTATACATTGCCTGAGTCCCAGCTACACAGAAAATAATTGTGTTGCAGAGTTACGATATTTTATAGCACGATATAGCAAGTTCATCTATTTGTCATACATTAGAAGCATACAAATGACAAAAACATAAAATGTTGGTAATATATGAGGTTCATTATTTAATATAGGTATTCCTTGCTTAATGACCACAATTGGGATTGGAGTCTCGTTTGTTTAGTGAAGCGGGCATTAAGTGATATGTCACATGACTGTCCACTTGACAACTTTGCTCAAAGACTGCAGTCCCAGAACTCACAGTTGTGGTTGTTAAGTGGAGAGTGTCCCTTGTCAGGGATGCAGGATACTTCTGGTGGGCTCCACTCAGAAGGTGAAAAGGCTCCTTATCAAAGTACAAGGACAATTTTCAGTCCATGAGCAAAGAGACACTTGTGTATGGCCTGTGCCAGGCATCTCAGGACCTCTCCCACCTGCCCAAGGCATCCCGCCCTCTTACCTTACTATGTTCCCTCTCTGCTCAGGAGCTGAAAATCCTGCTTGGATCTTGCCTCCTTTTCATCTCTAGGGACTTGCTAAAAGAGCTGTCTATTGAAACTGATTTCAAACAGAACAGAGCTGGAAGGGACTTTGGAGGTCTTCTAGTCCCAACCCCCTGCTCAAGCAGGAGACCCTATACCATTGCAGATAGGTAGCTGTCCAGTCTTTTCTTAAAAACCTCCAGTGATGAAGCCCCTACAACTTCTGAAGGCAAGCTGTTCCACTGGTTAATTGTCCTCACGGTTAGGAAGTTTCTCCTTAATTCCAGGTTACTTCTCTCCTTGATTAGTTTCCATTCATTGTTTCTTGTCTTGCCTTCTGGTCCTTTGGAAAATAGGTTGACCCCCTCTTTTTTGTGGCAGCCCCCCAAATACTGGAATACTGCTATCATATCAGCCCCTAGTTCTCTAGACTGACCATACCTAGTTCCTGCAACCGTTCTTCGTATGTTTTTGTCTCCAGGCCTTTAACCATCTTAGTTACTCTTCTTTGCACTTTTTTTTCAAAGTCTTAACATCTTTTTTGTAATGTGGTGACCAAAATTGGATGCAGTATTCCAGGTGTGGTCTTACTAAGGCTTTATAAAGCGGTACTAATATTTCACGTTTTTGATTCTATGCCTCTGTTTATACAGCCCAAGATTGTATTAGCTTTTTGACTGCTGCCACACACTGCTGGCTCATGTTTAAGTGATTGCCCACTAGGACTCCAAGATCCCTCTCACAGTTATTGTTTTTGAGTCTGGTTTTTGCCTACTCTGTACTTGTGCCTTTAGTTTTTCCTGCCTAGGCATAAAACCTTGCTTTTCTCCACATTAAATTTCATGTTGTTGGATAGGGACCATTGTTTAAGTCTGTCAAGATCTTTTTGGATCCTGAGCTTGCCTTCTGGGATGTTGACTATTCCTGCCAGCTTAGTATCATCAGCAGATTTGATGAGTTCCCCTTCTATTTTCTCATGTAAGTCATTTATGAAGATACCGAAGAGTACTGGCCTTAAGATGGAACCTGGTGGTACCCCACTACTTACTTCCCTCCAGTAGATATAGTACCATTAAGGACTACTCATAGAGTATGATTTGTCAGCCAATTACAAATCCATCTGGTGGTGATGCTGTCTATCCCACATTTTTCTAGGTTATCAACAAGTAGGTTGTGGTCTATAATATTGAATGCCTTGTTAAAGTCTAAGTGTACTATGTCCACAGCATTTCACTGGTCTACTAATTAATCACTTTGTCAAAGAATGAAATAAGATTGGTTTGGCATGATCTGTTTTTAACAAACCCGTGCTGGCTACTAGTTATAACTTTATTTGTTTCTAGATGTTCACGTATTTGTTTTTTGAATATTTTTTCCAGTATGTTTATAAGTACTGATGTTAGTCTGTAGTTTCCTGGATCTGTTTTTTTCCTTTTTTGAAGATGGAACCACCAAGTTTCAGTAATGGCAACTATTTCACATCTGCCTTCTTGTACTAATACTTCAAATTCACCCTGTTTGTTCCCTGAACTTTGAGGGTTAGTGTACAGGCAATGGGGTCCTTTATGGGTCTTGGGTAGATTTTTTTATATCTCCAATTTTGTAACTGGGATTTCCATCCTTTCCACTTCATTATGTTTTCCTTTTTTATTTCTTCTTTCTCTTTACTCCCTACCTCTAGTGGTTTTTGCTTTGAATTAGGTTCTAAAGGTTGTGAAAATTGCCCCCCCCCCATTTTAACTTGCAACTAATAGATTTGGAAACAGAATCAAATAGCTTTTAAAAATGAAAAAAAAATACTTTTAATGTTGTTTACTAGGGAAAAGATAATAAAAATATTGTTTATTTAAAATGAAGTTTAACTAGTAATCAACAATTTCAGAATACAGATAAGTTGGATGTTTTGCTATACTTAATTGCTCATATTGCATAATTCATATAGAAGATAAAACATTTAAAACATTTTAAATCTAAAAAAAATGAATACAAAATAATAGGAATCTGTTGTGTTTGCATGGAACACTTTTGTGGTTTTCCTAGATACAATGTATTATACAGTGTTCCATAATGTGGAATGATGCATCTACCTTGAACAATCCGGTGTAAATGTATCTATCCTTTCCTTTCTTTAGAAATATATACAGATAATCCTCAACTTAAAACTACAATTGAGCCCAGGATTTCCATTGCTAAGCAAGACAGTTGTTAAATGATTTTTACCCCATTTTATGACCTTTCTTCCACAGTTGTTAAGTGAATCATTGCAGCTATTATGTTAGTGAGCTTCCCCATTCACTTTGCGTCTCAGAAAGTCACAAAGGTGATCTTGGAACACTGCAACTGTGATAAATGCCAAACATCTAAATTTTGATCATGTGACTGTGGGGAAATGCTGCAGCAGTCATAAGTGTGAAAACTGTCATAAGTCACTTTTTTAAGTGCCATTGTAACTTTAAACAGTCACTAAATGACTGGTTGTAAGTCAAGGATTACCTAGAAATCAGTTCATTTGAATTTCATTTATTTGAAGATGAGAATCTAACCTGTTCTCCATTCTTCCTTGTCTTTTAACCACAGACTCTCATTGTGGCTTGGATCCGAGCAAATTTGAGTGTTTACATTTCTCGTGAGCTCTGGGACGAGTTGCTACGTGTGCTGTCATCCCTTACAGATTGGGAAGAACTAATAATGGAATGGGCTAATATAATGGATTCTTTAACATCTGTTTTAGCAAGAACAGTATATGGTGTTGAAATGACCAGGTTGCCACTAGATAAGCTAAGTGAACAAAAAGAGAAAATACAAAAAGGAAGAGGTAAATGATAAGCAAATGATTGTATTGAAATTATCTGTATGAAACGAGAAAAATAGTAAATGCTAAAAACAAATATTGTACTCAATGCAATTTTAAAGCTTATTCTAAATATATAAAGTGCTATTGTTTGAAAAGTCATGCAAGGAGATCATGTGTTTACATGAGGCCTCTATATACTGATTTTCCCTAAAAAATACCTATTCAATGGAATTTGACATTCTCCAACATGTATAAGCAGTTTATTTTCTTGTGATCAAATTCAGAAGGAGATAATACTTTATTTCAATTCAAGTCCCAGTGGAAATCTAAGAAATGTTTATTAGTTATTTATTTGCTTAATTCTGGAATGATAAACTGTTCAAAAAAATTCCTATCCTTGGATCCTAGCAGTGTCATTTGAAATACTCTAATGTATGAAAAATGATGAGATATGAGATGAAAAGATATCTGTTTAACCTTATAGGGTGTAAATGTTATTAAATTTATTTATAGTTGTGATGAAGGTTGGAAGTCACTTCTTATATATTTATTTTATATCCTTTCTTTTTTCTTCTTCCTTTTTTCTCTGCGTATTCTATTATTTTCATTCTCTTCTCTTTCCCTAAATTTGGTTTCTATTAATGTAACTACAATCCCTACTAATTATTTCTTTAAAAAGAAATATTCTAATGCATGAAAAATGTAGAGACGTGAATAAACAACACTGTAATTTCCATAAATATATTTATTGGATGTATTTATTGTTTTTATAATTTTGAGATACTTTGATGTTTACAAGTTATTTGGGGATATTATACGACATGAATTAGCAGTTCTACGTTTAGAACATAGAATAATAGGGTTGGAAGTGACTTGGGAGGTCTTCTAGGACAGTTGAAGCAAGGGACCCTATACCGTTCCAGACAAATGGCTGTCCAGTCTCTTCTTGAAAACCCCCAGTGATGGAGTACATAACTTCTGGCAGTGAGCTGTTCCACTGATTAATTGTTATCACTGTCAGGAAATTTCGCCTTAATTCTAGGTTGGATCTCTCTTAAAAGATCTTCCACATGTTTAGTTGTTGTCTTCCACTCAGTTGTTTTGGAGAATAAGTTGATTCCATCTTCTCTATGACAGCCCCTCAAGTACTGGAAGTCTGCTTTCATATTATCCCTGGTCCTTTTCTTTGTTAGACTAGACATACCAAGTTCTCTCAATCCATCATATGGTTTTAGCCTCCAGACCCCTTATCATCTGTTTTGTTATTCAAGAGTGACAACACCTTTCTTGTATCGTGGTGACCAGAATTGGATGCAGTATTCCAAGTGTGATCTCACCCATGCAGTATAAAGCAGCACTAACACGTCACATGATCTTGAAACTATCCCTCTGTTGATGCAACCTAGGATTTCATTAGCTTTTTTGGCAGCTGCAGCACACTGCTGGCTCATATTTAAGTAAAGAGCGTAATTGAGACTGTTGGTGTGAAAGCAACATAACAAGCTGCAAAATGCCAGTGCCAGAACAGTTTACTGTTAGGCATTTTGTTTTGAATGGGACTTTGAGTTTAGGTTTGAGCTACTGAAGCGCTAAAGAGGTGGTTATTGTTTTCAAACGATGCCCCAGAATGCTCATGGGACTGAGCAGAATGAACTTAGCAAGTTCTCTACACTTTTGGAAAGTCCAGTGTTTGCCTTCTGTTACTCTCTAGCCAGCTCCCCACTTCTTTGTCTGCCAGGGTCTCTGCCACAACAACTGTAGACCGTTTCTTCCTTTCCGATATTTAAACCTCACAAATGCAGCCCACCTGTAAAAAAAGGTGGGAATTGATAGGGATGAGCTGGTCAAATAAAGGAGGAAGACTTCAATTTCAAGTTGACTGGTAGATCTGGCAAAGACTTCTACAACAGCTCTCTAATGCAGAAACAGCACAGCACTGTGTGTTGCAAGCTTAGGTTTTTTTTTTTTTCAGACTGTACTCCTGTGTGCATGAGATCTTTTCATTCACTATTTGTAACTCTTGATGTGGGGAGTTACTCCAGACCTCTTACATTTGTTGCTTCTCTCTGCATTCTTTCTTGGGTCTGAACATCCAGAAATGGATGTAGTAGTCATTGTGTGGTCTCACCAGTGCAGTATAAAGTGGTACTATCATTTCACCTGATCTGGAGACTATTCCTCTGTTGATGCATCCTTGGACTACATTAGCTTTTTTGGCAACTGAAGCACACTGCTGGATCATACTTAATTGGTGGTCTATTAGGACACCTCTCACAGTTGCTACTGTTGAGCCAGGTACTACCTATTCTATATCGGTAAATTGTTGTTTTCTTGCCTATGTGTAGGCAAAGGTCTGCTTTGGTTTAGATACTGGCTCTCTATTCTTATATACACTTCTTGCTTTTACTGACAATGGTTAGCTATTAACTACTAGCTTCAGCAGATTCTTACAAAAACTCATTTATGGGGGAAGTTTCCAATAGGTTGTGTTCATTATCTAATTATTCCTTAATTACATTCCTGAAATCAGAATTGGTTTACAGTTTTGGTGCTAGAAATCATTTTAAATTATTTAAATGACAACTTCACTTTAGACACTTGTATTGGAAATTAATCAATTAGTTAACTGTTCTTGTTAATTAGATTTTTATTTACAATCTGATCTTCTTGAATTCTCTAAGTACATTAAGGTTAAATTTGCTGTACATTCCATTATTGAAAGGTGGCATTTTAGAATCTCAAAAAGGAGCTGCAGTTGGAAGATCGTTTTCTTTAAGCTGGAGAGATCATCCTGACGTTACAGAACCAATGAGATTTAGGAGTGCTACCACCTCAGGAGTACTGGGAATTGAGAAAGCAAGGAATATAGTGCGTCAGAGAACAACAGGTTAGAAAATAAAATAATAAAATGTCTAATAATAAAAATGTCAGCAATTTTTTTTAATAAATTTCTAACATTTCATATTTCCTTTGATTTGTTGAGTTGCTTTTTAAACAATCTGGTTTTTGTTGTGGTTTCTATACAGTTCTGCATATGGATTGTTTTCATTGTCCTAGGACTCTTCTAAAGATCTGGCAACCCTCCCCCTGGCTTAGAATTTGTATGTGAACCAAATATTAGAGTGTTTCTGGTCCAGTTAGTATAAGACACTTAACTTGGATGTGGGTAGAGAGGGGAACTTTCCGTTTTGGTTATTCATTGTTAATTATATAGAATTAATATGTAAATTAAGCATTTTTAAATTGTAAGATGTAGAACATAGTGGCTGGGATTGCAAACTAATTGAGATTTCACACATCTATGTCTAAAAATAGTTGGGCCATCATTTATATGATCATCATGTCATAATTTGGCAGCACATACTTGGTTTTTGATTCTGGAGGGTTGCATTGCATTGATTGAAACAACATTTGAAACTCTTATACCAGTGATGGCAAACCTTTTAGAGACCGAGTGCCCAAAAACTGCCCTGCCCCCCAGCCCGCCCTCCGCCCCTGCCCCACCCACAGGGCCACTCACCGCCTCCATGGCCCACTGCAGCAGATTGCCTAGGCGGCCTTGCAGTGCTGTGGCAGCGACACCCTACGCCCTCACCCCATAGCATCATCTGCACGCGATGGGGTGCAAGGGCAGAGTCTTGTCACTGCTGCCCAGGTGCCATGTCCTTGGCTGCGCTGCTCTGCGCAGGCTGTGCCTGGGGGAGACTCCTCCGGGAGGGCTGCTGGTGAGGAGGCTGCGGGGGGAGGCGGGGCTGGGGCAATGGTGCGCGCGCCCACAGAGAGGGCTCCAAGTGCCGCCTCTGGCACATATGCCATAGGTTCGCCACCACTGTATTATACGGTTCTTTCTGTAGTTATTGTATATGTGTGCACATGTTTTCAAGTATTTAATCGGGTTCTTTAATTTTATGGAAGATTCAAAGGCTATATTTGTATAATGTAAAGGCCTTTGCTATTAAATTGCAAGATTATTGTGACTGGCAGGTTCAATATTATAATAGGTTATATAGTTTGAAATACTTGTAGCTCTAAGAGTAAAAACAAAATTCTTGTAAAATCTGTAACAAATATTTTTGCATTCTTTCGGTGTTTAAAAATGCTTGTAATTTTTCATCAACTTTGGAAGTTTGATTAGTAACATGACCTCTACTGTAAAAAATATTCTTCTGATTGCCTCTCAATTTCTTTTACTACCTTTCTGGGATTCCCAGTAAGACATTTTCAACTCCATTTTTGGGAGGGGGGGCTTTACTTTTCTTCATTCATCTTTACTAATTTAAATCATGGCTTGTTTTAATTATGGTTTCTTGGAAAATCCAGGGTTAGTCTCAACAGAGAACTCATGGTTTAGTTGGCCTCTTCCTAGTTGTATCTTTGTAGTCTGTTTGTCACACATGGATGAAACACTGCGTAGACTCCAAAAGCTTTTAAAATAGCAAAGGACTTTTGCCAGGAACTTCATGCTTCATACGGACTAATGTTGCCTACTCATAAAATCCAGATACTTCTCATAAATTCTCGCAAAGATTTCTATATTTGTAATAGATGTATGGTCTATAGCAGGGGTCCCCAACCCCCTGGCCGCAGATCGGAACAAGTCCATGGCCTGCTAGGAATCAGACCACGCAAGCAGCAGGCGAATGAGTGAAGCTTTTAAAAAGTTTTTAAAATTGTTGGTTGCCTTCGGATGAACTGCAGCTATTGTTTCAACTATTCAAAATGCTGTACACTGTTCAGTTCTGTCTTATTTCCCTATTTTAGTTATAGACACTTATAGTTAGATGAGGTTGATTTTTATAAATCATCATGAAGTGTTTTGGGTTTTTTTTTTCAGTTTCAGAATAACAGTTTATATTGAAAAGATGAATTTACTGGTACCCCTACTCTTTTAGTAGGCTTAATTTCCCTCTGTAGTTACTCCTGGCTCCATTCTGTAGGATTTTGGAGTAAGGTAAGACAAGAACTTAGCATCTCCCATATCAGTGTGCAGAAACCTTGTGCCTTGGAAAAGGTACACAGTTGAAAAGTATTACTAAGCAGAGGAAATTAGTTCTATTATCAACTATCTGTGTACAAATCTTAGTTGTGAGACTTGTCTAGGAGCAAATTCTTTTCTTGTTCTCCACCATGATATAAGAACTTACCATTTATTGCTTACCTTGGAAAACTATTGTATCAGATTTGTGGTTCTTTACTATTGCCTCCTTTAGCTATGCTACAGGTAGTTAACCGCACATTTAGTGACAGTTCAAACTTGCAATAGCACTGAATGAGTGGTGCTCGCAATCAGTTCTCAGAGTTTCAGCTGCTGCAAGACTCCACATTCACATGATCACAATCCTGGCACCTGGCTTGCAATTATAATGTCACATTTTGCCCATGGCTGACCTTTTTTTTGGCTGGCTTCAAACAAGCAAAGGTAATGAGGAAACCGGCAAGAGGTTGCAAATGGCAACCATGTAATGTTTTACTTAACGATGGAAACCAGAAATGCTAGAATTGTTATCACTAAGCAGGACATTCACATGGCATGTTGCTTTATGGCCACCATGCTTAGTAACAGCAATTCTGATCCCAATTGCCATTGTTAACTAAGGACTTACCGCTATGGAGTTCAACCACTCTATCTTTCCCCATCATCCAACAATTTCATATAGCTCCCCAAGAAACAAAGGGACCTATTTTCTTCCTATTCTATTTCCTGGTAAATATCTAATTTGCAAATTTTCCAGGTGGCTCACCACTCTTCTGTGGTGAATAATCTGATAAAAAGCTTTCCCTTCACATCTTTCTATGATAGTATCAGCAATGCTTTTAATAGAATTTGGATTTCTCTCTTGAGTGTTATTAGAGTAAATGAGATACGGTTCCTCTCCAAATGAAAACATGAAGTTAATTATTTGGACCTTTGCAATTTTCAAAGCATTACATTCAAACCCATCCTTTGGAACAGAATTATCAGGTCACTGCTAACAACATGATTATGGTTTTCTACATCAATAAATAATGTAACATACATTGTTTAAGCTTTTTCAGATGAGATTGATGCCTCTGCCACTGGATAACATTTGTAACTATCTGCCTCTTAGGGTCTGGCAACAAGAAGACTGATTGGATGGGACTGCATCTGTTAGTAGCAAGGACAATATTTAATTTGTGAGAGACTCCCTTTATTTATCTTTTCCCATTCACTCAGAATATTTTTGTCAGCATTTCTGCAATAGAGAAGGAACCCAGAGCAGAAAGAGTTCTGTGAGAGTTTATTTTCTTATAGTTAGTGAAAAAGTGGACCTTCCAAAACAAAGAAGGAGCTAGTTAATTAATTCATTTCATACAATGGGAATGAGAGACAATGTTTTGAATATGCTTTCTATATATAGTGTTTGCTCTTGACTTACAGCACTTACTTAAATTCCTTGACTAGATAGATACAGTGGTATTCCATGCTGAATGCTGCTTACTGTCAAACCTGCTGAAAAAATATTTTAAAGTAGCAACAGCAATGGATGAATCATGAACAACCAACAGTAACTATGCGCTTAACCAACTACTGACTTGAATTTTGCACAGTGCATTTTTTTGTCCAACATGCAAAGCTTGTCAAGCAACATCACAACAGTTCTTGCATTCAGCAGTCTAAAGGCTCAGCTGTGCAGCCTTCATTTCACATTACTACTGTATGTGCACAGGTAGTCCTCAAATTGCAAGCACAATTGGGACTGGCACTTCCATCACTAAGCGATGTGCTTTTTAAATGAGTTGCAACTGATCTTACAACCATTTTGTTGTGGTTGTTAAGTTAATCATGCTATCTTTAAATGAGTCCAACTTTCTCCATTGGCTTTGCCAGCACTGTCATAAATTTGAACAGTTGTTAAGAAAATGGTTGTACGTGCTTTTTTGGTTTTTGCAACATTTCTTTGAAAATGAAAGCACACGGGAACGTGTAGGAATAATATATTAGAATTATATAATTACCATTATCACTTCTTCATAGCAATTGTTTTTTAAAAATGCAGCCTGTTTGTTATATCCAAAATGGTTGTCAATCCATTAACATGGGTTTAATTGGCTCTTCCCTCAGCCTGTTTTCTTTCTGTCCTTCAGCTAGCTTCAATGGGTAGAATCAAGACTGAATTAGTGCTTGCTATTTTATTGGATAATGAATATCTCCACATTTTTGTAACTTAGGACAATTCATTCATTTAAAAAAAAGGAAAAACTTGAACTAATAAGGATCAAAATTCCCAATGTTGTTCTGTGTCCAGAATACTTAAAACTGCCATTTAAAGTCTAATTATTCTGCACCATTCCCAGTGCAGTTTTTAGGCTCTGGCAAAGATAAATTAAAGATTGTTGTTGTTATGGTTTGTCAGCCAGGTGTTTAGATTGGATTTGGCATTTTTAACCATCTATCGCAGGGGTATCAAACTGCTGGCCCGCGGGCCGGTTGCATCATACAGATGCCGTGCCCACCCCAGCTCCGGCAATGCAAAAAAAGTTGTGATAGATCGCGACACATCACATGACGCGCTAAGTTTGACACCCATGACCTATCGAGTCCTTCCCAAGAACCTGGCATAGGCAGATGTTGTTTTTGATGGATTTGTTTGTTGCAAAGTCAGCCAAATGTTTAGACTCAAATTGGCATTTTTACGCATCCTTCTCAAGAACCTGGGATAGGCAGATTGTTTGATGGTGTTAAAGATATTGTTGCATGATGTAAGCTGTTCCAAGTAAAGCTGCCTTTTGTAATTGACTGATAGTGATTTTGTCAATGCTGATATCACCGTGGGTATTATCCTCACTTTTTTTGCCACAACTGTTCTGTTGCCATCTTCTTACAGATTCGTAGATGATGATGTGGCCATTTTCTCTACAGTAATCCAGTGTGCACGCATAAGATGTGCTTTTTATGGAATCAGTAACACAGAGAAATAAGGTTGATGAGCAACATTAATGCTGCAGGAGTTCCAAAAGCAAGATTGTCTTTCTGTCCTCTTGTTCTTTTTCTAATAAACTGGGTTTCTTAAAAAAAAATCTTGAATATTGGATAACTTACAGACAGATACACTTTACTGAATTTCTTCTGTACTGGTTTTTACCTTAATGAATTGTATATGCACAGCATTCATGTTTATGAAATTCTAAACCTGTTATTTTCTGTTTTATGTGGAAAAACATCATCCTGTTAAGTAAAATAAAATTACTCTTTTACTTCTATTAATTTATTTTTCCTTATAAGCGAAGCGAAGTCGGTCTATCAACAACTGTGCTCGTCTCTGTGAGGCTTTGCCAGCCACTAAAAGTGCGCCTCTTCTCCTCCATACTGTGAGCTCTCTCTTGCCTGATATCTCTTACACTTCTTACTCTTGCGCTTTTGCAGGTATGGTATTATACAATTTAGCAAGATTGCGCTCTGCTTTATTTCACCCTATATCTTACATACGGCATCCTAAATATTACATAATATTGTATTTTGATTGAAAACATTGATGTTTTTCCAAGTATGTCAGAAAGTAAGCATTAGCAATCTGAAATCTTGTTTAGATAAAGCAGCTTCAGATTCCCAGGTTTCTTTGAGACTGAAACCAAAATCTTTTCTAGATATATATGCCAATTTCCCTTGAACAATACTCACTTTTCAGTGAGTATATACACATATATGTATCCAATTTTCTTTTTCTTGACAAAGAGTTAAAGAATTAAATTGGGAGACTAAGATGGCCATTTCGAGCTCATTCTGCTCTCTTCAGTTAGCCACACCCTTTATGGGATTCGAACCTGGGCAGTTTACATACTAGGCAGTGATTTAACCACCAAGCCACAGACTCTCCTCCCCTCTTTGCCAGCCGAAGCAAGGGAGTATATACAGGAAGTTTTTCAGACAGACAGTTGGGACTTGAGTCTGCTTAACGCCCCTAGTTGGGGGGCTGCAAGGCAAAAGAGATTGTAAAAAGTAGAACTGCAGTATAGCAGTTAAAATGCCAAGGTGTAATCAATCAGACCTGTCTGTCTGAAAAACTTCCTGTACATATATGTATATACACATATACACAGTACATTCTTTTATATTGTGAGAGACTAATTGTTTACTTTTAAATATAGTAGTTTCTTAGACTTCTACAGCATTCTCAAGTTGTCAATAATCATTGGGAAGTACAGTTTGAATGGGATAAATCCTATCACCACCTATTCTTGACATCCCCAGTTTTTCTCTATGTAGCTAAATCAGCAGCTGATTTTTCCCAGCTCACAGGAGATCATATCATGGGCACGCATCTATTCCAATTCCCTTGTATGTTTAGATTTCTTTTCCAATTTAGCCAACTGTATTTGAGAAAATGAGGAAAGAGAATCAACCATGATTCTAGTTCCTAATCTTGATACAAATTTCTATAGAATTGGAGTAGGATTGGATAGCCTGCTAAGAGAATGCTGGCAATGTCCACTGATGAACCCATGCTTGTCAACCAGAGGTCAGTCATCTTACCAATATGAATTTATTTTAAGAGGCAGGGCAAATGGGAAATGAACATACTTCATTTGTTCTGTTTCTTTTGGAGGCAAGTCTTCATTGTAAGATTTCCAAGCTCTACCACAAACAGCAACTTAATGATACCAGAGATCTATCAAAAGAATGTTGATATTGTAAGTCCTCTTTGTATCCTCAAGTTCTGCTTCCATTGTTAAATCATCCAGCCCATGCTGCCATCTCCACTGTCTGTCCTCTTTTCAGGGATGCTACCTGCTACTCAACTCAAGAGTGCTTGTATTAGAATGACGTGGCAGAAGCACTGAGTTCATTGATGTGATTTTATTTTTCCATTCCTACCTTTCCCTTTAGAAATGCTGCTGTTCAACAGAAGAGCTGCCAAGGCCATTATTGCCTCTTCCACTCTTGTCATAGATGGAGAGGCTGTGAGATTGTCCTGCTCTTCCTGTGCACTGATAGTTACAAATCAACTAGAATGCAGCAGGTCTGCTAGGATTCTTGTCTTTCCCAGATCGCTACAGCTTTCACACACAACTACAAGTGCCAGGTGTTCCCATTTAAATTGACAGGTATTGGAAGCATGACTACAGTAACAGGAGTCATGTTTTAGAGCTTAATCACTACAAATCACTTTCCCAAGGAAAAATTTATTAAATAATTTAAAACTCACATTTTGTTTTGAAAAATATGAAAAAAATGGGCTTAAGCTGGTTTCACAAATCAGCTTGTTCATTTATCCACATAACATTTTGACATCTGATGAATTCAAAATATATTTTTTGTTAAGAAATGTTGCTTCTTATCTTGAAGTCCAGAATTAATGCATTTCCCAAAAAACTCAGGTCTCTGGGTTTTAAAACTGCACATAGTAAGATATAATGCTACACTGAAATATTAGGTGTGAATATTTCAAGAGGAAAGCTTTGCATATGTACTCATACTTATTTCGGTGGAAATATAATTAAACTGAGATATGATTAAACCAATGCAAAAATAAATTTGTAACTAAATAAGCTAAGTAAAAATGAAAAATTGGAGGTCAATGTTATATTACAATTTTATATATCAGTTTAATGTATTTTTATGTACTTTCACTTGATGGGTAAAGTAAATCATAGATACCACAGCAAAGAACAGGTTACAATGTGTAGAATTCAATTAGATAGTACTTTTAAGTGCACTACTTTATAAAAGTGGCCAGTAGGGTTATTTTGAATTATGGATAGCTCTGGGTAATATTGAGACATACTCTGTCTGCATTGTCATGGTAGCATAACTTTTAGTTCATATCCCAGAAAATCAAATAAATATATGCCGGGAGCAGTTTGTCAGCCTTTATTTTCCCATTATGGTATTCCAGCTATTCTTATAGTAAATAGCCAGACTGTACTTCCAATCACATACAGGAATATCAGATTCATAATTAAAATGTTTCTATATCAATCAATGGACAAGTATTGGCTGCACACAAATTTAAAACATGATATATACATATATATTTTTTAAAGGTAAATGAATCAAAAGCTGATATTTGAAATTTCTTTACAGTTACCATATTTCTTACATGAGGGAATTCATTTTGTTGGGAAAAAAAATCTTGCTGAGAAGAAACAGTGTTCTTATAAGTTCTTAATCCTTCTAGATATCCCTTCATACTTCAGATCATAGCACATTCCCATCATAACTCAATAGTACAAAGGCTTAAACTGTATTATATGTTTACGTTGTGTTAAGTGACAATGTTTTATATGTTAATTGATAATAAGGATGTAAATATTTTAATAAGTCAAAGATCTTTATTAAAATAGATATGGACATTTTAAAAATGTAATTGATAAAACCTTTGTATCAATCCCTATAGAAAGTGAACAACGTGAACTATCAGAAAATGGATCAGGAATTATTAATCAGCAACCGGTAAACTTATTGAGAGCAGAATATAACAGTCCTTTTTCAGATCAGGATCAATTAACTCGAAGCAGTAGTACCTCTGATATTAGAGAACAATGCAGTTCTGATATTTTCCAAGGTAATCTAGAAATACTTTGAGAAAGAATTGTTTTCATATGCAACCGCTATATGTAACAACATCTGAAACACTATTCATATCATGTGCTAAATTTATTTACTATGCCATTTTCTGTCTTCTATTATTTACAGCTCTGTCCAAGCATTTTAAAATACAACTCATTATTAATTTTTATAATAACAGTGGTTTAAAAGTTCATTTTTACATATATACTTCAGTAAGTCTGATAGCAATTTTTAATTATAGCCCATTTATGTAAAACATACACTAACATTGTAGCAAAAAAAAGCCCAGTCAATTCAGTAGAATTTATTGAGATGAATCAGGTCATTCATATTTAAACAGCTTTTCTTGTTAGAGCAGAAATGTCCCAGTTTACAGGCAACAACCTCAGATATAAAGAACAAAACAAATCAAATCTTTATTACAATTATAAACCAGCATACATATACATATAAATTATTAGGTTTTTATCTCGCATTTTTTATCTCCTGTATAACTGAGGATGGCAAACAACCCTATGAGATGGATTGGGCTGAAAGAGTGTGTCTAATCCAAAGTTACCCAGTTGGCTTTCCTGCCTCAGGGTGGACTAGAACTCATAGCCTTCTTGTTTCTAGGACAGCGCCTTCACCACTACACCAAACTGACTCTGTGAAAAGGATGCAAAAACAGAAGAAACATTTTAGTCAGCCATGTTATAAATGGCTTTTTATAAATCAGCATCCTTTATATGTAACAGGTTTGCGGTCATTTGGAAACCATTACATTATATAGGATCTCAATATTTTAGGTAGTTTTAGATAGTTAATATTTTCGAACCACCAGAAGACAACAACTGTAGTGTTTCAAAGCCAGCTCTTTTCCTAAATACTTAATGTGATTTTGCAGTTTGCAAAGTAACTAACCTCAGTTAGTTACCTGATTTCAACATATTAATTTTTGCCATTTATTAAAAAAAAACTTTAAAAAACAGTACACCATATTTTATTTATGATCATTAATATATTCAATAATTATAAATACGTTTAATAATGCTTACATGAATTTAATAATTGTGTAAATGTAAATATGCACATATATATTTTCATAACTTATAAAATTGTATATTTGAAATAATAAAATAAACATTATATTCAAATCAATTTGTTAATTTTGTAATCCATAACATTTCACTCATACTTCACAGTTAGAAAAACAGAGAGTTCACAAAATTTAACTGCAGGATCCAGATCTGTTCAAAAAAGTAAGGAGACCATGAACAAGGAAAGTACACTACAAGAAGTAAGTACAAATAAATAGGATCACAATGTATATTAAAATAAGACATATGTCTCACTTCATTATATTAAAATAATGTATTCTTATGTTATGTTTTATGGTAACAATTGACAATGTAAAGAATGGAAGCATGTTGTGAAAAAATGTAGAACTAAGAGAAATATAGACTTTTTTTTTACATTTAAGAGTTTCCTATTGTCAAAGTATATGGAAATATTCAGTTACAGAACAATGATTAAGTTCAAACTGTAATTTATTAAATAGCCATATCCCACAACATACATTAACATTACGAATATTTATAGAATTAAAACAGAACTTAATACTGGCCCATACCTACCACTGTTTAACTTCCATTTATTTATTTCTGCAGTTAATGTAAGTAGGGTTACATCCTGTATTTGTTTAAAATAAAATGAAAGAATTTTAAAAAATCATCTAAACTGAGAGATACCCCACATCTTTTCAATATGTGTCTCACAGGCTGATAAATATAATTAAAGATATAAAAGCTTATTGGGCAAATATTCAGTCTGAAAAGGGAAGAACAGGAATGTGAGGCTATCTGCCCTCAATCACTGTTGAAGGCATAGTTTGCAGTTTTAAAACTGAATGCTTGCGAGGCTAGGTAGAAGGCTGTGTGAACTAAATACTTACCTCTTTAATGGTCCAGTTTTAGACTGCTGCATCATGGTCAGAGTCCCTCATCAGCAGATACCTGGACTGGCCCCAGTCAGGAAGCACACTTTTCCTATTAAGAAATCAGTGCTGTGAAAAGTACACAAAAAGTTTTAAAATTCTGTCTCATTGCAATTACAATTAGATAATTTTGGGTTTGACAAGAACAGAAGTTGACACTTTACAACAGCTAACAGTCTTATCAATTCTCTCTCTCTCTCTCTCTCTTTTGCATCTACAGACATTCACATGTCCTTTTTTTCTTTTTTTTCATCCCTGTTAATTATTTTAACAAGTTTTACTGTCCTGTTCATCTCCAACCATAGAACAAATAAATGAAATCAAATAATTAAGAAATGATGCCTAATATTGTGAAGCTTATACAGTAATAGTGTGTGAAATTGATCAGTGCTTTGAAGGAGACAATTTTGAAGCTATATTGCAATTATATTAATATGTAAAACACATTTTTTCACAAAATCATGCAGGCAAGCAACACTCCATCTGAATTAATTCTCAAGACAGACAGACAGCTGTTACATGGAAATCAGAAAGAGAAAGAAAAATGTAAGTTTTTCAGAAAAATCACTTTATCAAAATGATTGGTGAAATAGAATATACTGATGTCACAAGATTCATATAATAACATTTTCTGCTTTAATTACTTCAGTCATATTTTCAGATTGTATTATTACAGCCTATTTTATGTAACTTTTGTTTTAGGTGAAAGTATTAGCAGTGATACTTCTATTGGATACAACAGTGAAATGGGCATGAGCTTGGCTACCTGGCAAACGTGTGAAGAAAATAATGATGTCTCCATGCATGCCGACATTTCTGTGGATCCAGATGCCCATCAGTGGTTGGCTGCCAACTTCTCAGGTAGGCAGTCTTAAAAGGGAAAGGTAAACTGAGTTGATATTAATCATAACGTTACATTCCTTCAGCTAAGGAAACTGAGTTATGAAATGGTTGAGCTTTCGACCATCTTGTTTGGAGATAAAACAAAGGACATGACATCTTCATTCATTCATCCCATGCACAGAGGCTTGTATCAGCTCTTCTGCTTTGCCTTCCCTAGTGATTAGCCCTTTCACCTCTTCCCAGACAGGGGAACATGCATGATATTATCATATTTCTTAAGTGCCTAAACAGTATTAACTTTAATATATGTAATAGAAGAGTATATCTCTGTATATGCATACTGGTATACGTGTAAACTTTTATTTTCTGCACTTACTTTTCACTGGTACAATAATATACTCCAAAGTGAGATATACCTGACGTAACTTTATTGGTTTTTACGTACAGAACCAAGGTGTTTTATTCTCCTAGGAATTTTAATCAGTGTGTTAATTTTTAACATGCTGATATTCAAAAACATTTTATTCAAGCTGCTACATTTATGGTTTTATGGTCTCTATCATCTATCTTTTTCTTATTATTTTATATTGTATATTTTAATTGCTCTAGAAGTTTGTATGGTTTTACTCCAGTATAACTATATGGGAAAACCTGGTTTCTTTTAAAAAAATGTTTTATATCATGATAAGATATGTATATGATTTCAATAAAGTGGTATTTATGCATTATTGATGGTATAAAAGTCTATCTTTAAAGATAGAAAAAAAAGAAAGGTTTATATCTTTGTATCTTGGTTTCTAATTTACCCCTGTAAAAGTTTATATTGGCTGTGTTTTATTATATATTCTATCTATGACAGGCATGTGAAACTGCTGGCCCGCGGGCTGCATGCATCACGCCAAAACCGTGCCTACCCCATTGCTGGCAATGGGGAAAAAGTCGAGATATGTCGCGCAATGTCACATGACGTTGCGAGTTTGACATGCCTGATCTATGGGAACCATTCTTGCTTAAATTTGGTTAAACTCATCAGAAGTAACATATATATTATTAATATATAAGCAAGTATGGTTCCCATAGATAGAATATATTATACAACAACATATATATTGTTAATTTTTCCATTGTTGCATATTCTCTGAGTTTAAGTTCCCAATCAGATATTGTTAGAATTCTGTTTTTCTTCTAGTATTGGATAACATTTAATTTTGTTTTCATAAGCATTAATATCAGTAAATTATGATGTTTTCTGGGATTATACCTAGTAAGAAAAATGTGATTTCCAAACTCATTAGAAAAGGAACTATGGCACCAGTTGTAAATTAAGTTTATGACTATTCTGTCATCTCCAACTGCTGTCTTTGCAGTTTCCTCACAAGGAGCAACTGTCCGGAGCACTTGTGAGTGATCTCCTGTCCTCTCCTTATTCAAAGAGCCGGTCTACTCACTGGCTGTTCATTCTTTAGCGTAGTCATCAGTTAATGCTTTTTGTGGAGCCATCTTCTGTCCACCACTTCTTCCTCCAAAGTCCCAAAAAGGATATTGTGAATGTTTCTTTCACATAAATAAAATATGTTCATTTTATCATGCAGTATTTTTGTTTCTTCTGTCTCTCTGTTTCAAAAAATAAAGTTTTTTAAATAAATAAAATTTGATATCTTTTTCTCTTTTTGCACATATGTTAAAAATGCTAATGCAAACCATTATTTCTTCTAGACAGCAGTGAATTCCTTGCCGATGATTGTAGCATAATTGCTGGTGGCAGTCTTACTGGATGGCATCCTGACTCTGCAGCGGTATTATGGAGAAGAACATTAGGAATTCTTGGAGATGTGAACAATATCCAGTCTCCTAAAATACATGCCAGAGTTGTTGAATATCTCTTTGAGTTATGGCACAAATTAGCAAAGGCAAGGTTGAATGTTATGATGAATTTACTGTGATGTAAGCAGCTAAAATAAACATTCTATAATATATTCAAATCAAATGAAATTTTCAATATTTAAAAATATCCTTACTAACCCAATTTATTAAGACTTCAGCAGTTGATTAGTCTGCTGGAATTGTGCACCCAAAATGCACAAAAGTACCCCCATTTTTTGCCCCACACATGCTAAAAAACAGATGCTAACTTGCTAGATCTGGTCCCTAAGCCCCTGTATCTTAGCAAATGTGATGATGCAGTTAGCAAAGAAAATGTTGCTGAAGAATTATGGTCTCTAATGGCAGACATTTGTTTAACAAATAAACTGGACTAAATAAGGAATAAATGGACTAAAATCCAGCAATATCTAGAAAGCGATGGATTCTCCACCATTCCACTAATGTGTTTAGGACAGTTTTAATGTATATTTCTTTGTGGCAAACTAATGGATTTGTTCCATAGAAAATGGAGAAGATTGCAAACAACTGCTCCAGTTTCATAACCCTGTTCATCACAGAATAATGATGAAAAAAGACAATAGGAGAAATACATATTTAGTATTCCATTGATTTCCTATAAAATGAAGAAAAGAAAGAACATGTATAGACCATCTCATATCTTGATTTCATCAGTTAAATTTATTCAAATCAACAAGAAAATAACTTTGAGACTCAATATTTTGCATGTAAATGTTTAAGAACAATGCAACTAACATTATAAGGCTGATGAAATTTAAAACACATTGTTTCCTGTTTATTTGTTTTAGATAAGAGACAACCTGGCAATAAGTCTGGATAACCAGTCTACTCCTTCCCCTCCTGTTTTAATTCCACCACTTAGAATATTTGCATCATGGTTGTTCAAGGTAAATTGTTCATTTAAATGCAAACAGTTTATGGATGGATTTGGAACAGAGGAAAAGTTTTTTATTGCCAAACAAGATGCCCTAGTTGGAATTTTCCCTCGGGATGTTTTTAGTGTCTTGTGTTCCAGGTGAATAAAGTCAGAAACATTTTGAATATTCCGCAAGAGGTGTGCATGACACAGAAAATGTGTTTCTGTTTTAAACCGTATCCTAATAAGATACCACTCTGACACATTGAGTGATCCATGTTCCAAATAGAAAACTCCTGAAAATTTTTTGAATCTTCCGGCCACATAATATAATGAGAACGTGAAAGAACTGTTGGGTTTTTGATTCACTCTAGTTGGGGTGATATTGTATATTGACTGCTACCTACCATGCAATCTAAAAAAAAAGTGAAGGGGATATTTTGTTAAAATAGTGAAAATAATTAAAAATTATCTTAATGGAAGCAGCAGTTGTAATATATCTTTTTTTTAAAAAAAAATGTGGTCTACTTACCACAAATCCAGAAACCAATCTATTTGTATTAGGTATCATTTCAAAAAATAAAAACTTCAATTATTTCATTAGTTATGCTAGTTCCAATGAAAATATATCACTAAGTACTCTGTACTCAAACCAAAAGTTAACAAAGCTAACTTAGTAAGTATAGGTAGTCCTCGAGTTATGACCACAGTTGAGCCCAAAATTTCTGTTGCTAAGCAACATTTGTTAACTGAATTTTGCCCCATTTTATGATCTTTCTTGCCACAATTGTTAAGTGGATCACTGCAGTTCTTAAGTTGGTAACTTGGTTGTTAAGTGAATCTGGCTTCCCCATTGACTTTGCTTGTCAGAAGGTCACAAAAGGGGATCACAGGACCCCGGGACACTGTGACCTCCATAAATATGAATCAGTTGCCAAGCATCTGAATTTGATCACGTGACCATGGGGATGCTGGAAAGGTCGTAAGTGTGAAACACGGCCATAAGTCACTTTTTTCAGTGCCATTGTAACTTCCACAGTCATTAAATGAACTGTTGTAAGTCGAGGTCTACCTGAAAGTTGAGGACTACTTTACTGCATACATGTAACTTTGTATTTTACCTAATGTCTACCTTTGTGTGCAAGGCATACTATAAAACCCAACATATACAGTACATGCATATAAGCCATCAATCCTACTCTCCCCATGGCAAAGATTTTAAAAAGATAGCTGTGATCATTTTCTTACTATGTGTAGCCTAAGGTTAGTTATCCAGAATAACCTATATGGAAACAGTGCAGCGTGTTCTGTGGGATGTGATCTTAGAAGCAATGGGTCCTTCTTACCCAGGCAAGTCAATGACTGAGGCTTAGCCATTGCCCTGTATGAATGGTAATGGGCCATGGCTAGGTAGGAATTGTGGAGACTTGAACAAATTTGCTGAAACCTGCTTGTTGAGAAGGAATATAGAAAACCTGTATCCATATTTTGCATTACTGGAGGCTTGCACTAGATTTAAAAACTTGTCCATTTGTGGATTAACAATTTAAGGTATTTTTTTTCTCACGAGTGTTTAACAAAATGTTTCTGACTAGCATCAAATATAGAATCAAAACCACCCTGGTGAGGATATTTACATATTTTAATGTATAATGGTCTGGTTATTTCAGAGTTCACATATGATTTAACAAAATATTTTTTTTAGGCTACAACTTTACCAGATGAATATAAAGAAGGAAAGATCCATGCCTACAAACTGATATGTGCTATGATGACAAGACGACAAGATTTTATGCCAAATCCTGACTACCTGGTGCATTTTTATCTTATCATGCACATTGGCTTAACTAGTAAAGACCAGGTATTAATGAGATAGTTCTGATTTTAAAACTGAATTGCACTTATTAATACAATTTGCATAATTTGGATCATAAGAATTTTTGTAAATGAAAGGAAATTCTGGAGTGGATTGAAATGAGGTTAAGGAGAAGAAAGAAGGGAGAAAAAATGAATACCTTTTCTTCCAATTTAGGATACAGCTTTTAATAGAAGGGATTTCAATCTCAAACCATTTTTACTTCATTTCTTACTGAAAACTGGTTCTAGATATCCCTATTGTAAAGGGCTTTTAGCTATTTTTCTAGCAACAGCAGTGCTTCTACAATCCTACTTTGCCTGGATAAGCCAAAGTGGGTATCCACAGGCAACGAAGAAACACAAAGCCTATAGTTTTATGAGATGGTTAAACCCATAGGTCTAGCCATTTGTCAGAACTATCTAACAATCACAGAAGTTTTCGGGTTTACCTATTAATGTATTATATATTATTTGTTTTATTTTATTCATGAGACGATTGCCAAACTCATTTATTTTTTTTAGATTACAATTTTAGCATAGACGGATATAAAGAAAGAAAGATTTAGGGGGCTTGTAGTATTGCAAACTTTGAGAAAGCCTATCTTAGACTGTAGAGGTGTTTAAAGCATCTGATTGAATTCTTCTGGATGACTTTCAGGTTTTAAGGCCTAAATATGTGAACTAGATACTTGACACTGCTCAACAAAGACCTGCCCAGTTATTCATACACCTTATTCATAAATTCTGCTTTATTCAGATATACAGTAAGATATCTGAATATATCAGGTATATTATACAGCCAAATATCTCTGTGCATTAGAACCAATTGTAATTTGTGGTGTTGGTAACTTTTCCCAGGTTTTTTCCTGGGAGCACCACAATGGGCCCTAATGCGTTTTTTGTTATGCTTCCATAACAAAACTTCCATTCAGAGTGGTTAATTTCAAGGCTTTGCACTTTCAGTTAACCAGTTGATCAATCCATTTTTTAAAAAAAATAAAAAATTACAGTCTTCCAGGCATGTAAAAGAGGGCAAAGGCTATATGAAAAGATCAGGAAAAGGGATCAACACATAGGAAACAAGCAGTATCAATTGGAGCCATCCAGCAAAATGCATCCTTTTAGACTGCACACCCTATATTGCTTGCATACATCTTAAAGCAGGATTTTAGGGAAAACGGCATTTCCAGGCTGTAGCACCTTTAGCTCTCCTGTAGACGAACATTGAATTACAGCTAGAGGCATGTGGACATGTGCTTGGGAAATAACTAGTAGGCTGTCCTTGCATCAGAGCAAGATGCGGATTTGGGCTAGGTAAAGTATTGTAGTTTTCTTGGAAATGAGGGGGGAGGGGAAGTAAAGAAACTAGAATTGGAACCAATTATTGCTAATTTATGTAATCCCCCTCAGTGTATTATATGTAATGTAATCTTTAGTAAGTTTAGAATGCTCAGCTGGGGCTGGGAGTTATAAATTTGGTCTTACAAAGAATGATCTTAGAGCTTCATTATAAAAGGCCCCACAAGAGCATTCCTAAAAAAAAGGGATCCTGAAGATCTGAAGAAGTATAAGTAGGATGGATTTGATTTAAATCAAATTGATTTAATTCATAATTTAATTCACTAGTCAGGGAGAGCCAATCTAATGTTTAAATCATTTCACTTATCAAGAATATTTTACAATAATCATTTCTAGTAAAAGTGCTTTTTTGATACGGTATGAATACAGTTTTTTTTCAGAGATGCATATGTTAATTTTAGAATCTTCTTACATTTAATACATTTTTGTCAGATTTTTAAAAAATCATTTTTATAACAAATGAAATTAGGATATTAGTAGCAAATTAGCCGCTATGTAGTTGTGAAGATATTAGGAGATGAACCAGCTCCAGTTGAATTATTTGTGGGTATTTGAGGGATACATTTGCCATGTTACAATAGCATAACCACCAGCTGCTTTTAAATTGGCTTGTTCTGACTAATTTTCTTCAGCAAACAATAAAAATAGATTATTACTTAAAACGTGCACTTCGGATTTAAAGTACATTTTGTTAAAAAATAAAGAATAGGCAATTTCAACCAAGTCAGCACAAGGCATTGAAAACTTTGGTGAATGGTGAATAAAGTGTTCATCTGTGCCTCTTTTTTTTCAAAGTCTGGCAAAAGAAAGACAAATGTCTTGCTTTTTCAGTTCCCAAATTGCTTTGCAGTTTTCAGTGAATTGTTCCAGAGGAAGAGAACACTCTTTGTAAATCAACAAAACTAATTGCTGCTATTACAATTTGGATTACCCCTTCAATGATTTCTGAATCCAAATGTTTAGATTTATTACTTAGACTTCCTTTGTTGACAATCTCATGATCAAACATACATCTATGGATTGGATCAATCTTAACCCCATTTGGTCTAATAGTTAAGGCACCAGACTAGAAACCAAGAGATTGTAAATTCTAGCCCCACCTTAGACATGAAAAATCGGCTGGGTGATTTTGGGCAAGTCACTCTCTTTCAACCCAACCCAGTCAACCCCATAGGGGAAACTGGTATCAGTTGTTTCAATAAGAAAGGCACTGCTATCTGTTATATAAGAACATACATGGAACTGTAAATATTGCTCTATTCATCAAGACTCAGAGCTACAAATTTTCCTCTATGGATTATTCGTACATTTCTCACTTTCTTCTTCACACACTATATCCAACACTTCATTTATATTTACATTTATATTATGCTGCCTTCCCTCCAGGTGCTCAAGGTTGTATACACTGCACTTTTTCCAAATTTTCTACCCCACTTCTATGTGACAGGTTGGGCTGAGACAAAGTAATTGTTCCAAATCTTTCAGGGACTTCACTGAACATGGCTTTTCTCTGTTCTAGCCCAACAAGTTATCACATACACTGTCTCTGAAGTTTTCCTTGCAGTAACAGTCCTATTGGGTAGACCAAATCCTGGGTAAGGAATTGTACATTGTTCATAAAATATACCTTCCAATCATGCAGAAAGGGACTTGACACATAAACAAACCAAAGTTTTTAAAAAAACATATCTCTATTTCTGTACAGTCTAATTGGTTTCTATTACTGAGTTGTCTAGTTCTGTGTGATAAGTCTTTCTTGGAATTTTTTTTTTATCTACATGCTTGCTATATATGGTACAGTTGGGTTTTTTACTTATATGATATGGATTATTCTGAAATGGTAGCCACTAATGATGCTAAATATAGTGCAGATTGACATCGTGCATTTTGAAGATCTTCCTAAATAGAAGCAATCAGCTCAGTTAGCATATTGACTTTTTATTTAGTATGACTGAATGCATGCAACAATAAAAATTACTACTAAAAGGAATATTTGTATTTTATTATAAAATTATTACTAAACATAAGATATACATTATTGATTAGTCAATTAGAATAGACCATATCAAACATCAGCATCAGCCACAATAAAACACAATAAAATAAGATAAGATAGTGAACTGAAGTGAGATAAAATAAAATAAAATATAGTAGGTGAGATAAAGTGTAGATAAAAAGTATGATGAAATAGTATAAGATAAAATAGAAAAAGAAGAGAACTTTATTAAGTTGACTGACTGTGTCAAATATTAAATATAATAACTGTACTTTTGTTCAAACATAAAACTTCTAAGTTCAGCTATTAACATGGCTTCCGTTTCCAAATAAATTTATGTAGCTTATAAGCATGCAAAATACATAATGCTATCAAACACTTGCTAGCAAAGTGTTTTATTGTATCTTAAACCATGCATAACCAGAATAAGAAGTTAAATTAGTATTTCTAAATTTTCTAGTAAGCAACATAAAATTAATTCTCTTTTATTCCTCTTGGTGGCAGACTTAGCTTCAGATTTTTCAGTAAGCGAAACATGCAATTCTGAGACAGAATTGCTTTTGTGATCCTTCATGTATTAGTTTCCATTCTGAATACACTCTGTTTTATCTAAATCTGAACAAAGCTAATGAGATTTTTAGGACTATACATGTAAATGTTCTGGAAAGTTACAATATGTTTACCCATAACATATAGTCCTTTTAAGGGTTAGATAAAAGCAGGGGAAGATAAGTTGCAAACATTTCACAATAATTAAAGGGTCTTTTCAACATATGCTCTGATGACATTTTGAATCAGCGCACATGAATTACATCTGATTCAAAATAAAAAAAATGCTTTAGATAATTCCTATGTATTATATTTGTGAGAGGTCACATGTTGAACCTAATCAGTTTAGGAAGTATGGCTTTTATGCTAAATCAACTTTATTTCCCCTTACCAATAACATCATGTAGAAAAGGGCAGATGATGATTCATACTAAAATGCAAGCATTCATTTTTCAGCCCTTTCTTGGGTAGGATTAATAATCAGAATCAGCAGATTGGAGATATGACAGCTATAAATAAGCATAAACAGTAAAGCATTGTTGGTAATAAGGCTTTTGTTGGAAATATTTAGATTCCTAAAGCACTACAGGCCTGAAATCAAAACATTCACTATACTCCATGCAAAGCAAATTTCTGCGTGCTTAAAAGCTATTTGCTTTGCAGAGGAGAAATGTATCTTCTCACTGAGTAAATATATGTCGGAGTAAAGTATTTGCAGAGGACCTGCAGTGGCAACCCTCCTTCAGGTATAAATGCAGATCTGTTTCTCAAATTCCTGCGTTTTACATAGGGTTGCCACCATGAAAATATTTTCCTAGTGATATTGCAGATCCACAGAACTCTTTCAGAAATAGTAAAAAAAAAATGCGCCTTTGGTGGATTTAGGTGATTAGAAAAAGTACTGTCTTCCAGAGAATGCTGGAATGGTTTATAAAGGGGCGGGGGTTGATAGTAATCCAGATTGCCATGAAAAGTACTGGAGACAGTTCAATGGAACAGGTCATATTGATTCAACTGCATCCTCCAGGCAGGGACAGATCTAATTGGCAACAGATGGATACTATGCTTGACAGTAAAGCATTGAGACTAGGTGATAGTAA